ATTGGTTAACATCCCCGCCCATCCTTTCCCCCCTGTTCCTTCTTTCCTGTTTTTAACAATGACAGGACAGGTCTGAGTAAACGTATGGGGCAGACATTACGAGCTGCTAGCATTCCTATGACCGCAAGGCAGTGGCGTAGCCAAGGTATGATGGGGTGCCACACTGGGCCCGTGCACCCACCCCCCTCCCATACCTGAAATTTTTTACGCCATGGCATGTAGAGCACAAAATTACACACGACCACATCTGGCGGCCCGGCCGCCACTCTAAATCAAGGAGGTGCCCTCTCTCTCCCACCGGAAAAAAACTTCCGCCTGCATGCGCCACTGCAACATCGGCGAAAAAGCAAGACGGGACACAGCTCTTTCGCCATCCACGCGGTTCTTTCACGTGCTGTCAACATGGCTCACCAGTCTATAGACAGTTATAGTTTAAGCGTTAGCGCGATAGAGTAGGTTAAAGGAATGGCGTTACCGTGCAGCGAATGTTTCGCTGTGGGCAGCGTCTTATAGTTTAGCTGGATATCATTTACGTGGTTTACGTGCCCCAGCTGGCATGGTGGCGCCACTTAATATATGGTTAATAAGTTAAACAGTAAAAATGAAAAGAAAACGGGAATGTTTGCCTATGCCACCACGCGAAACATTGTTAGAAGTTTAGTTTAGTGATAATAAGAGTAAATAAATATGAACCACGCACCAAACGCGGAAAACATCCTACGTTGCCGATTTGTTTACATCGATCTTGTACTTAGGCCTAAACGTGTTCGAAATGGAAGCTATCTCAGAAACTACGTCAACTTATCCGTAATATTCGGTCATCGAAGCTAACTGAAAGCAAGCGAAGCCACTTTGAGAGCGCCGCCATGTTTACGTACACTACATACACCTACGCTACCGCGGTAACATTAAATCTGAAAAATACCGCGCGAACGGGAAGTGGTATGGGTGACGTACGTATCTGCGCATGCGCACTTCGATTCCGGTATCACGATACACCCGGTAAGCCCGGTATACTATAACTCTCTTATCTTTCTGGTCACACACCACATTTGTTGACGTCACTAGCTGGCTTGAGGTCTGATCTTGCCAGATTCACTCAATTCATCAAGATGAGATATCACCGTAACGCTCGCACCCCCAGTTGGAAGAGTTCATGAAAAAGAAAATGACCCTTTGTCTGCATGTTTCACTGCAAATGTCGTCGAAAGACGATAGTCTTGCCTCTGGAGAGAGTGAACAAAACGTTTAAGTGCGATGCATTTCTTAGCGAACATCGGCGACTTTGAGCGTATCTATCTATCTATCTATCTATCTATCTATCTATCTATCTATCTATCTATCTACCACTTTTAGCTCTCCTGGCCGTTTCGATAGTGGTATCGATACCAAACTTGGTATGGCATAACATGACTGTATGAAGAACATATTTGACTAGTCATAACATGAAAATCATGACATGCATGTCATGATTTACATTTCATGGTCCTGCAGTTCTTGCGGTGGTTTCGTTCACATGGCATGTTGCAAAACTGGTATGGTATGACATGATTGCATGGCGAACACAAGCGACAGACCCTAACATGAAAATCATGACAAGCATGTCATGTAACAACATGACTACATGCCACGCTCATGATGCGCTCACGACCGTTTAGCTAGCGTCACATATACCAAATTTGATATTACAGTACGTGAATGGATGATGAAGGCATGGTACTGGTGCAAACATGATAATCACGAAGTCCATGTCATCTAACAACATGACATGCCACCGTCATTATGCTCTGGCGGCCGTTTCACTAGCTTCACTTATAACAAGTTTGGCATTACGGGACGTGAATAGATGACAAAGGTATCATACTGGTGCAAACATGATAAACATGAGATGCGTGTCATGTAACAAGACTGCATGCTACGCTTATGATGCGCTCGCGGCCGTTTCGCTAGCTTCACATGTACCAAACTCGGTATTACGCGACGCGAACGGACGGCATAGGTAAATGACACATCCAAACACAATAATCACTACATGAGTGTCATGTAACAACATGACTACATGCCACAATGATGATGCGCTCGCGGCCGTTTCGCTAGCTTCGGCGTGAAATGCAGCATGTCCCATTTCGCGCCGGTTGCCGTCGGGCCGCGCCGACGGACACTGGTCGCGCCTGGCGTCAGTGCTCGCGTTCTGCTAACGTCACTCTGCCCAGCGTGCGCGCGCGTCAACGCTACATTGGAGTATCTTGGGCCCCCGATGGTGCGCTCGCGGCCGTTTTCCTAGCTCCACGGATACCAACTCTGGTGTTACGTGACGTCAACCGATGACGAAATATATGACTGGTGCAAAAATGATGATCCTGACACGCGTGTCGTATAAGAACATGACATACCACGCTCATAGCGTGCTCGCGGCTGTTTCACCAGCTCCACATATACTAAATTTGGTATCACGTTACGTGAATAGATGAAGGTAAACGGCACACCCAAACATGATAATCATGACACTGCAGTCATGTACGGCATCATTTACCTCTACCTCGTAACGTTGTGCCGATTTGAAGTGACATATCAACATTTCTCATTCGTGCTTCGCGTATCATCGATTCCCACTGTACGGAGGATCTACCAATTTTTTTGATGTCCCGCGCGAGAAAATCGGTGAATTGTATTCTGGAAGCTCCATGTTAGAGAGTCTCGATTCGTGCAGCGAAGGTGAACCAGCGCATCGAAGCACGTTAAAGCCCCTTGATCTCCCAAGATCAAGGGGCTTTAAGGCACGTTAGACACGAGCGCCATCTGACAGTTATGTTCGAAAACGAAGGAAGGCGCGAGCACACACGGAGAAAGATGCGCGCCTGTCTCACAGGCGATAAGGAGTAGACCGCAAAGCGATGGGCAGGTGCCACTACCGTGTCGTCTTAGCAAAGCGTTGGAAGCACTTGCCTTTTGGAGCATCGCGTTGCACTGTCAGCGCAGCGCGATAAACGCTACGGTCCTCATAACTACTCGTGTGCGGTTTCTCTAGTATAAATGCGCACATACAAAACATCGACGTGTTGTTACGGTACCTCAGATATGCGCAATAATTGATTTTTATTTGACAATCGCACAAGTATGAACGCTGAAACTTGAGCAATATTGGTGGGCGCTGTAGATGGGGTTGGCTGTTTGAGGTATTGTTTTGTGCCTTCAGGGGGATCGTTACTACGGACGAACAGATAAATGTAGACAGACCAAAACTTTGGCTTCGCAGGTCCCCACGAAAGACTATCATCTTTAAATAGTAGGTGAGGCGTGCTCCTCACAAAGGCCTGCCTTAGGCTGCACCCTCTTGGGTGTAATGGCAGGAAGTACCCGAACAGTTCTTTGAATTCACCACGAAGGATCCTCGACCGCGGTTATGCGTCGCGATAACCCAGCTTATCAAGATGGTGCGAGACGTCTGGCTGAGTGAAGTGAGTTAGTCAACAACTTTATTCACTTCCTGCAGGTTACCGGGCTGGGTTCCCACCTAAGAGCTGGTTGAGAGACCATGTCTCTCAGCAGCTTCTTTGGCCTGCTGGATCGCCCAGATTTGGCTGAGTAAAGGTTAGAAAATAAAGGGCGAGGGGGGCTCCCCCTTCTTACTCACGCCTCATTCACTCTTAAGCTTAAGAGCAGCTGAATTAAGCAAAAAAAAAAAAGACTTACGCCATGTTTACCTTTCACAAGTTCATGGTTCGCACCTTCCATCCTAGTACTTTTATTCTGCAACAGAGCATATCCGAGACGCATCGTTGCCTGTACACATAGGAAAAGCAAATTTATTATTAGAACAGTTTCGGTAATATTGGCACACCAAGGCAAACTGTTTCGTCAGCACTGCTTCACAGAAATGTTGAAAATTTTAATTATCCTTGATATTCTTTACCATTTTGTTAGCTCTCGTTCCTTTAGGTAAACAGCCCTTCTTGCACCCCGAGCTGTCATTAAATTTATACCCCCCCCCCCCATCCATGTCTACGACATATCTCATACCACTGTGCCGTTATTACTACAGAAAACTAAAGCTCAGAATGGTCAACTACCATGCGAATGGTAGCCTGCGTTGGTACAAAGATTGGGCAGATCATGTGCATGTCGTTCCTGAAATTACCCCGCCCCCCTTTTTTCCTCTTTAGCTGTACTTATTCAGAATGACACCTATGTGCATTATGGCTGTGAATCGCAGCATTTACAACACCATATTTCTGTTGTGAGTATTCTCGGTTACAAACTTCATAGCCATGTCAAATGACGCAAATGGTGGTTTAGGGGTGTCCACCCCCCCCTCCTTATCAGGTGCTCTTCGGCCATCATTGGCCCTTGCATGACAAAACACTACATATATCATTTACCCCTCTCCCCCTCTCTCCTTCACCTGTAAATGTTTACATTTTGTACGTGTAAGTTCAATGTACTTGAACACACACGTGAAGATACAAGAATTGCGTCGGAATGCCCCTGCACACAGACAATGTCTAGGCTACGTTGCTGAAATGTACGAGCCAATTTCAAGCAAATAATGTTCTCCCAATGTTAGGCAGAACCACTCGGCCAGCAGCTGCCATTGACATTAGCATCGAAATTTCCTCTAGCAAGATTTGTAGAAAAATATTCTTGAACATAAACTTATGGCAGTACTATACACACGTTTACTAAATCCCAATAGACTACACCGCAAATGCCAGTCTAGTTAAACGATACATGAACACAGCTGTCGCTCAGATGGTAGATCATCAGGCGCATTATTCAAAGGTCGCAGGTTCAGTCCTTGCCATTGGCAGGTTATCTTTTCACCCACTTTCCTTTCTTCTCATTTGCATTACAATTACTACTAACAGCATCCCCTATCTTTTTCGAGGCCTCATTGTTTGTTAGTTCTCAATATTGTGTCTAACAAATAAAAAAGGAGTCCTTGAATTTACACTTTGCTATGAATGACACCAGTATTGGAGCAAGGCAGTACCACACTTTGATCAACATGAAGAGAGGGCACACAGCGACCAGTCTTTATTTACAGAAAAATGCTAGTAACATGTAAATTTCATCTTAAAAACGTACTCTCTTTATATAAAGTCCGACAGAGAGTGAAAGAAACACACGCACAACACACTGCATGGCCATTTGGCTAACCCCTATCACACAGCAAATCTAATGTCATTTGCCCAAAATAATATGTCATGGGCATCACGTGAGAAAACTCAATCACATCAGTTGAAGACATTTCCAAACTGAAAAGCTACAGAAGCCTAATGCAAACTGCAAAGCTCGTTTGCATTCAGCTCCCAGCATTGCAGATGCACATTCACTCCGAAAACCACTGCTCAGCTTCATCAGAAGGACAACATTTGTTATTTTTAAAAAAGAATAAGCTAATGTACTGTGCTTCATTGCATAATCGTTACCTTACTGGCACTAAAGTAGATCCAAATGCATATGTATTGTTAGCAATTCTCTGTACATTCACTGCATGGCTGTCTACTTTGTCATAATAGTACAACTTATGATGTGACAGCCATGTTTTATTCCCCGCTGCTTTCACGGATTTGCTTCCACAATGCTTTTTTTTCACCTTTCCAGTAGAGGCAAATCCCAGAACCATTGCCCGTTGTGCCATATGGCCTACCAGATCTAGGCCTGACTGTACTGGCAGCTTCTATAAATTTGTCTAGAATGATATCTGCCACAATTGGGAATAATTTATGATTAATGCATCATATTTAGACAAAGGTGAATAAAATTGTATCTATATTGTTTTATTTTTATATCATTTATCATTTACGTTATGAATTATGTTAGATTTGCTGTGTGACAGGGTACTGATTTGTAAGCAGTACAAATGCTGTTTCATACAAAACATTCTTTTGATATAGAAAGGATTTTAAAAGGAATACATAATAAAAATACCAATGTCGTGCTCCACCAGGTTCTAGATTAGGCCAGCACACTGAAGACACTTTCTTTAAGTAAGCTATCTTGGAATAAGGTAAGTAAAAATGCCCTGGTTGCACATTCACGACTGTACTGCAAATTAGAAGTGTGGCAGCTTGGGCTAGTTGGTACTGGCATGACGATAGTTATAGCGCGAGAACAAAACGACGACACAGAGGCAAGAAGCGCTCGTATTTTTCGTGTCTTTCTTGCCTCTGTGTCATCGCTTTGTTCTCGCGCTATAACTATCGTCATGTACTGCAAAGCATGGTTCATTGTGTACCTGGAAAACTGCAAGAACTGTATAGAAAAGGCACCTGCAAGCTATTACAGGCTCTCTCAAATTTAAGAACAAAGCAGATGGATACCATGGTACATATCAGCGCGCAGCAACACAACATCCATTCAAATCATGCGTACGTCCTGTTTCACCTGAAGTTACCGATAATGCGGCAGGGTTCTACACAGCAGTACAAATGAACATAAACTTTAGTCAAGCCCCTTGCCACACTGACTGTATATACCAAGTCAATCGAAAGAAACTCTCACGACTTGCATCAGTAATATCGCAGCCTGCAATATTGCTACCAGAAAGCCAAGACAAGGCTTGTCCAGATGAACTTTTGTGGCGAGAATTCTATGAAGGAAAACTTAAGGAAAATGTATGCAGGCACTTATTCCCATGACTTAAACTTGCATTCCACTAAAATATATTACGCTGTTTGCCAGCCAAATCCCAGCAGATTTGTAAGCGCATAACAAAAAGAACTGCCCTTCAACGAAAAGCAGTGAATAAAAACTTTCAACGCAGCACCGCGAGTGCTCTTTACCAAGGAAGTAACTAACCCTGTGACAAATAGCCGACTGCATATGTCATGTTTCGCTAGAAAATGCACTGGTTAAAGATAAAAATCTTCTGACTCGTACTCTGCATCCATGCCCATCGAGGCTGTCACTTCACAATGTACAAAAAAGAAATTATACAAACACAACCAGACTGCAGGGTGCACAACACTGAATGATAACCTTTGCGCAAAATATACAGCTGTAAGTGTATTTACAATAACATGCCATATCTCTTACATGATCTCACCAGAAGTCTAGAAGCAATTTTTGTCTATATTGCCTGTAATAAAAAATTCCTTCGATGCGAAATAAGTTAACAGTGTATATTCAGGAGCTTCCAGTATATTATTAACAAAAGGCCTTTACAAAACGAAACAAGAAAATCGAAATGGCAAGGCATATTATCTCTCTCGTATATACACTGCCAGTTAGAAAGCTAAAACTGCAAGAACAGAGATTGCAGATGTCTCACATTGTATATTGCTGTCAATTTCTTCACATTTCTTGTTAAAATATACATCACTATATGCTTTGTCACTCTGTTAAGTAACGTACAAAAATACTCTGGCCACACTTAGAAGTCGGAGAGAGGACCTTGTGTCAAATAGTTCCTCAGCGGGTGATGCATGGGCTTTCTAGGGGCCTACGATATATTGTTCGAGGCTGCATTTATGACTTCTCACATATTCCTCAGTATAATATTCATTCTTTTATAAAATAAAGAAAAATGCTAAAACGACAAGTCAATTGCACCTAACATGTAGTGCAATGCATCTGAAAGATCACAGGTAAATAAAAATTATGAACATCCTGTCCCCGCGAGGAACTTGTATGCTGCGACGTAAATACAACCTCGTTAAATACGAAAAGCATGACCACATATATGTATAGATTTAAAAAAAGAGGAAATGCAGTCAAGATGGAGGACACGGAACAAGGTAATATGAAATATATAAGACATGCCACACACCTTACAACAACAACGAAAAAAAAGAAACGCTCACATTTGGTGGTTGTAGCAACGTGCTCATGAGACACTGCCTTATCTAGGGGTGTGTTAGGGGGGCAAGACTACACACATGAGCAAATCTCTTCACATCACAGACAAGGGGTGGGAACGGCACGGGGATGAAAATCAAACGCACACTTCCAGCGACAGCGCAGGAAAGCAGCAGAGTTGGCAGCCAGATGCACCTTTCGGAGTCTCCTTTGTCACATTCGTCGGGGAAAGCTTGCAGCGTGCATTCTCGCAGCTCCACATCTCTCGTGCAACTTAAACGGAATAGAAAGCAGACTTTCTTACGTGTATTCAGCGTTCTCTTCTCGAGAACAACTGCAGAGTAGATATGAAGTTATCAGAACGCACGCACATTTTTTTTTCTCTGTACAGTCATTAGCCACACGTTGCGGACGTCTTCTGCTAGGCACCATTGGCAGAGGGAGAGACCACAGTTCGCAACACACGCCTCGTGTGGCATCTCTCCAATTCTAAGCTCACATTCAATTTCATGAGGACCTCAGAAGAGGCCAGCCTGTTTCTTGTGCTTGTTCTGCATCCAGTTTGGAAGCCCGTAGAACTTGGCCTTTGTGCATTCAAACACTTCCTGAAAGGTGCATAAAGAAAACAAATTGAATACAGTCTGTTGGTTGATGGCTTGGCTAAACCACACTCTGCATTTGCATTACAATTACTTCTAATAACTTCCCCTTATACTTTCCTTGACACCGTTGTCTGTTCTCATTAATATGGTGTCTAACAAAGAAAATGAGCCCTTCAATTTAGACGCACGTGCTTGCTCGGTAATCCCTCACTCATCTCAGCTACCGTGACGGAATCATTTAAAAATCGGCATCCTCAGTGCAGCCAACAGTTATATCAGTATGGCTTGCCTTTTAGAAAACTGAAGTATAGGCTTGCATTCCAAACTTAGCGACAGTAAGTCCGATTTACAATTGCCTATCCTTGCAAAAGGCATTATTTGACAAGCCGTAACTGCAAGTGAAACGACATTATACAACATGTTTTTATTGACTGTGAAAGCTGATATACAAGAGAACAAGTGGGGAAAGTTTAAGAAATAACAAAAATGTTTTTTTTTTCATGTCAGAAGTTTTCCTGGCATGCGGTTTTCTTGAAGTAAGCACAACTGTATCTTTATTGAAAAGCGTTATTATTAGCTTTGGCAGTTTTATAAGTAATCATGCCAAGGAAGTACTGTGGAATTTGCACCACTCTGTCGTAAACCTTTTTTCAAACAAAGGCCTGCAAAGTGGGCAAAAGAACGTTTGCTGTGTCGATTTTGAGATTTTTCATGAAAATACGTGGATTACCCAGAGAAGCAAAAAATAATTGAGCATAAGGACAGGTGTACTGCGGAATTTTTGCCACTCTGTCGTAAGCACTTTTTGAAACAAAGGCCTGCAAAGTGGACAAAAAAACGTTTGCTGTGACGATTTTGAAATTTTTCATAGAAATACCTGCACTACCCAGAGAAGCCAAAAATAATTGAGCATAAGTACAGATATGCCTTCATGTAGATAAACAAATTTGAAGTAAGCAGCTTTAATATATTTTGTGTAATTCATCGCCATAGTCAAAAAAAAAACAGCAGAGCATGTAAGTGTGTCACTCCACCTCTTCATCATTATTGATTTACTGTGCTTCAAAAAATTTTCTTCCAGCAAAACCGACTGCGGATCTCTCCTTTCCACTCAACAGGCAACACTATATAAAATTTTGACAAAAATTTAGAAGGTCGACCAGCCATGCTTTGTTCTATCTTACGTCTCTACTACGCTGGTACTGAAACAACCACATCCTTGCTTTCTTGTCATTTTTTTTTCAAGTTCTTTTTTATTATACTACACAGTATAGTGTAGAATAATAAGAAGTGAAAAAAGTTGTAATTTATAGCTTGCCGAGGCTCTATTGCCACTTTAAAAGTCCGATCAATTACTACCACTAAACTGTAAAACAAATTAGACACACAACAACTTTCTGAATTGCAAGCTTATCAATATTGCAAGTATGTAGTCGGGTATATATTGAAAAAAAGAGGCAAAATTTTTCATCATATGTGCATGGCATATGTTGCTCTAAAGACTGCGTTTTTTTTTTTTTCGTGGTCCCCTTTTGTATTCACTAGCAGTACACTTCTATTCATAGCACCTCAACTGCAAATTGAGTGCCCTGCCCCACTTCCCTCAGGTTTCAAGAACTGACAGGCACCTTCGAAATTTGATTTTTCCCAATAGTGCCCTTCCTTTACAAGCAATATGCAGCACTGTTCCAACTAACAAAATCTGTATAAGGTAGAAAAAAAAAATGAGCGACTAAAACAGCATGACTCATGTTACCTTCAAAAAATGCCAGGCTTGCACGGAAGGTGCAGCACAGTTGCAGCAAAAGCAGGAAGAGCGGCATTTCAGAGCCTTTTCTAAACACTTTTGGTAAATGCTACAAGCACACTAGTTTGGTACCAACCGAACCATTAATCATCATAACTTATAGGTAGTAGGCCAGTATTCACTGATATCTTTTGTCATTCTTTGGAGAAGTGTGGTATTTGCTAAACACTTGCAAGGAATTTTGTGCCAATTGTTCATGCAGTGGCTGATGCCTATGAGGAATTATGCCTGAAGTGGGTATGCACCATTGTTAATAGGTGATCAAGAACAAGGTGTTGTAATGGGTTGGAGCATTGGACGACCTACTCGTTACACTATGTGCGCATTGTGCGACGCCTTTGCTGTTCTAAAACGCTTTGTTACTCACATTAACAAGATTCCTTTTCCGACATCAAGCCTGCCTAAAGCAAAATTGAGAGCAAGCTCCAAGCGCTGGCGTGGCTCAATGGTAAAATACTGGGCTGGCACACAGCGGACCCAGGTTTGAACCCCTCCGTGTCCTCAATGTTTTCTATTTACAGAGCTTTTTTTTCTTACTTTGTGCGATAGTAATTAAAGACAACGGCGTCAGCGTCGCCGTTGTAACAATGTGTCGTAGTTTACACATTGTTAAAGCGGCACCGACACAAAATTTCGCAGCTGAGATAGCCTGTAGGGTTGACTCCCAGGAACATTCGCATATAATCTGTGAAATAACAACAGCTAATATGGCTGGGAAGGTACTTTAAAAGAATTTTCAAGTTGGCGCGAGCCCTTGGCTCCATCATGCTATTGACACCATCGAAGAAGACCCCTACATGACCCCATACTTCCTCCTGTCACTACGCTGCAGTCAACAAAACAAGTTATGATGACGTCATAGCGGCCATTTTTTTTTTTCTGCGCGTTTATTACCGCAGTCCATATTTCTTGGCAGCTGGTTGCGAGTGCGTGCTCGTGGCGCAGGCTTACAAATTTCTGTGTTTGGGGATATTGCAGTCCCGTTGCTTATTCTAATGTAATTCTTGATGCGGACCGTGTGGAATGTGTCACAGTTCTGTGTCTTGAGGTGCTCAAAAGCTGTGCACGCTAGGTGGCGTCAGTTATGCCTAGTTTTTGGCGCTCTCTCAGACCGAAATTGAAACTGATACATATTAAGGGGCCTGTAAATAATTATCTGTCGCGTGCTGAAGCAAACAATGTGTCATGTCATGACTAACAGGCCCCCAGCAACACATTGTAGCCGAAAAACGCGAGGCCAAAGTTTTTGTGTCAGTACCCCTTCAACGTCTTTGCCAGGCGATAATGAAACAGCCTGAAAAACTTATTCCATACGATGCTGCCGAGCAAAGTAACTGTAACACACAACACAAGTGAATATTCTCTTGCATTTATTATATAATGCCACGGGAAACTGTCAGCGCTCAGTGTAAAGCAGACATCGTGAACAAGAGAAGTGCTGATGGCACCGCTACAAGAGACGAAGCCAGTCGCTCTTACACACACACACACACACACACACACACACACACACACACACACACACACAGATATATATATATATATATATATATATATATATATATATATAATACTGCTTAATGCTATACTCTAGTGAAACACGTTATCAAAACCTGAACACTATCAACGCTCATACCTCAAAGTCCTCGTCTGTGAGGTAAGACTCCAGTCTCTTTGGGTCAACACCTTCAGGAAGGGGCACAGATTTCAATTCCTTGAGCGTGTAATGAGTTTTGGTGAGCTGAGATAGAGTCTCCTGGACTGAAAGTCGGTCCCCGTGAGTTCTGTCTTCCTGTAGAAAGGAAACCAAAAGACTCATCATGAGTAATGTTTCCAGCAAAAGAATGGAAAAAATTGGGGCCAAATAAGGAAAGAGTAGAAGGTGCAGCTTGTTAAGAGGAGACGTGATTCGGAAAAAAAAAGTGTTAATCTGTAGCTTAGGGCGATGGAATTTTTTGATGTACAAGTGAAACCCCGATTATAAGACTTTCAGGGGACCACACAATATAATCGTATAATTCAGGTGTTGTATGGTCAAAAAACCAAGATTTTTTTCCCAAAAAATGGGCCCATACCACCTGAATAAGCCTACGGCACGATATTGTGCCTTCGCAAGGAAGGCAGAATAAATTATTCTTACCAGTGGCAGCTAATGAAAGCATTGCATAGTCGGAAGAAGTGCGAGCGAATCTTTATTCTCAACATAAAAAAAAGTGAAGTCAACATTTATTGTTCTACAGATGAATAGAATACCAAAATTACTGCTGTTGTTATGCACAGTGACATAAAGCGAAAGCAATTTTGCATGGCGAAGACAGTTGTGTCGTGCCTTTTTGTGCACTCAAGCTTGTGGCTGCGAGTGCCACAAACCAATGCAGTAGATCAGCTGTGCATATGTCTACCAGGCGAAGTTTCCATGGACCGAAAATGTGAAAATAGCTTTTTGGCCAGCTGAAGCTATTCTGTTTGGATAGAGCTTGACTAAGTAACAACTTCAGATACGTACTCGCGCGATTGAGGCATGTGTAGAAGCGCATGAACTTCCAGTAGAATAAATTTTCCACTCTAAAAAGGTATCCTGCCTCGCTATACTTTTCCAGTTGTCAACCTAGGGGAATGCAAGTTCATATTTGGACTCTTGAATATTTGGCAGACGTTTTATTCGAGTAGATGTGTCTTTTTGTTTCGAACAAAATTTGAAAGATGTAAGGTGGGGGGTTGCCTCAAAACTGCGACGTATAACTGAAGTTTTTAATACATTATTTCTATGAAGAGTTTGCCGGGACCAATCCTAAGTCTTAAAATGTGGGTCTTTGCAAAACTGGGGGACGTATAATTGAAGTTCCACTGTATGAGCATTGTGCCATGAGTGTTTCATTCCATGAAACTATGTTAAGTATAGTTCCTTTTGGACAAACTTTCTGTGCCAGTAAGCTTGTATGGTTCTGAGCTATTAATGGCTCATATTGCTCCACATTAACTGTAGCAAATAACTATAAAGAAAGTGAGTATAAGACATTTTATTACACAAAAAAATTGTAATGCCAGAATTGTTAGAATCCTCAACCAATTCCAGTTGCTTAGTTACGGCCGTAATTATTATACAGGAGATATCAAGTTTTAAAGGAGATATTTGTACCTATCAGGCAGTTAATGAATCTGTGAGCAAAACATCTGAATCTGGATACCAGAAGTACCAAAACAAAGTCTAAATTCAAAACGTTGCTGAAAAATGAATCTTGAGAAAAACACATTTTAAAGGTGCAAGGCAAAGCTCATCTATGTGGCAAAGGCATATTTTTGGATTGATTTTTTCCATAATGAGAGCTTGGGGATAATTGTTATTTTGAGCAAGTGGCTTTAGTGGACTCCTCATGTGAAATGCAATGGCAAGACTCACCATTGAGAATGAGCTCTTAGTTTTTGGTAGCCACATTGTGCTCTTTAAAAACAATTTTAACTTTTTTAACTTACTTCCAAGTTCAATAACAATCTTCTGTTTTTTTTTTTTTGTTGTGAAAGTAGAGAAACTAAACTTGTGAAAGCAAATAAAAATGAAATATATCTAATTTTGAAAAAAAATTTGCATTTTTCAGCTCGAGTCTCCCCTTAACAAAATTTTTCAAAGCACAGAAGCCATGACAAAAACGGGCCTGCATGGAACACTCAGCCCAACCACAAAAAATTGGGGGAAGCAGCCCTTCTAGAGGCCGTTAATGCTTTGAATCCCAGGATCCTTGTATGTGGACAAAACATCGGTGAACTAAGATCACGATGCCCAACACATTGCCTTGAAGATCTATTTGAAATGTTGGGATTACTTCCTGGACGTTAGGCTTGTACAAATATTAGAACACTTGGAATATTCAAACAAATAATCTATTCAAATTTGCTTCAATTCGGAATGAATTACAGATGCATATTGATCTGCACTTAACATCCCTTGTAAAGGTGGTTTGACACCAGTGAATAGGTGCTGTGCGATGAATACAGCTTTCAAACACACGTACGCATGCACACGCTCACACGCACAAATGCACAAGAAAATGCATTGCTATGAATTTCAAAGCGAAATGACCATATTCCCATATTAGCTTCAAAGTTAAATGACCAAATTATCCTTAGATTAATTTTTCCATTTTTAGGTTTAAAAGATTGCTATCTGGTTTATATGCTCCAATTATAGTAAATTTTAGAACATAATATGTTTTATGGGTTTATGGCTGAGCACTTTGTAATGGGTGGGAAGCTGTAAACGACCTACTTGTTATGCAATTCACATTGCATTATGCCGGCTGCTAACCTATTCCACCCCGCTACTTTACATCTGTTAACCTTATTCCTTGCCCGATGTGACACATGGTATTTGTGCAAAGGAGTTTCAAGCCACGGTGTGGCTCTGTTGAATACTCTACTGGCACGCAGAGGGGCCCAGTTGAAATCCCGACTTGAATCCTAGTTTTGTGTTTGTTAACGTGCCCAATAGCCGGAAATCCGCGACAGAAAAAATGGCTGTTGTGAAAGCATTCGCCGTGAAAAAAAAAAAAATTGTAGCTACCATAATATTAAACTTCTGCAAAGCGGATATTTTTTTTTATTGCGATAGCAATTATATGGACACTCTCGGCTGATTTTCACCATCCCCGTCTCGTCCCGGATGTGTATATTCGAATCGGCAACTCCTCGCTCGTCAGGGCACTGTGCTAACTTGGCAACTAAACTGCGCCGCTCATGCTATCTATATCACTAGTGGCGAGCTATATGTATGCACCATTTAGAACAGGCTTACCGTCAAAGGACTTAACAAGAAACATTCTTGAACAAAGCTTGTATGTCTCACTTGTAGTTATTTATTTATGCACTTATGCATTAACCACCGATTTCATGACCGAATCCCCCGTGGTGGGTGGAAGCCATATATGAAGGATAAAGCAAGTAAGCAAGCTTTTCCCACCATCCAGCTACTTCCGGCATCGACGCCTACACTGCGATGTCTGAAACAATCTGAGGTTGACGCTTTGATGAAGTGCATTGGAACTGTACTTTTGCTACCATCACCGGTATCATCGACGTCGACTGACACCAAGGAAGAAAGCACCGGACAAACGCCGGACAAAACACTGTATGTAGTTCGGCCTTTGTAATGCCATCAAATGTTTTTCGAACAGCTGCGGAACAGCTTCAATGCAATGCTAGTTCAGTAAAGAAAGACGGGCTCGCATACGTGCCCAGACACAGGCAGAACGGGCTGCTCCGCATGCGAAAAATGCTGCAGCTCAATGCCCATTCCACTGTGTTTACTACATTTCGTATGGTTCCTAAATATCCTAGCCTTACTTCGTATAACAGTCCAATGTGTTGCTGTCGCATTTATCGATCCATACCGAATTCAGCTATTATTTCTCTATTTACACACTGATCCCAACAAACATGTGTTGAAGCCTCCAATCGAGCTGTCAAATAATATGGCCAGGTGCCACCCACTGCACTTCTCATTACTTGCAGCAAAGAAATGTGCATTTAATTTGCGCACGGCAAAACAACATTGAACTGGCTTCCACTATTCTGCTTGTCTATAGACGAGTAGCGCCTATGGCACTTACTCTTATGTTGATGGTAGCAATGTCATCCCTGTCTTGCCACTCTGGGAAAAGGCAGGTGAATTCCACAGGCTCCAAGCCCGCAAACACCAGGTACACCTTTGGGGGATCGCTAGGATTTGTTTCTGCAATGAAGACAAAATTGCAGGATATTCAATTGTCAGACTGTATAATATGCAGAGAAACTAAAATATTAACTTTTATTTAAAATACATCTGAAAGTATCTCTGATTGCACAAGAATCTAAAGTTGGCAATAAACTGGTCTAAACAAAAAGGTGTTGAACATGGTTACTGCAAAAATTACACGACAAAATGTTTGCCGGTATTTTGTAGCGATGCCTTTTCCAATCATAGCGACTTTTCATGGTACTATTTTGTTTTCGACAGAGGTCACAACAACAGAGGTCAAGAGTGGCAGTCAGTCAACATTATCAATAATGTCGGCAGCAGACAATAAAAGTAGCGTAAAACTAAGTGTAACATACTGTTACAAAATGCAATGCCAGGAATGTTGGTGCACCCTTTAAGATGCTAAAAAAATTCCCCCACCTCCCCGATGGGAATCGCGAGGAAATGCAAATGCATTTCTTGCACCTAGAGAGGGTACCGTTGTCAGACATTCACATTCACCGACTTCTGCCACCCCAGTGAATGGTCGAGAGCGAGGAACGAGCGGACGGGAGAGCGGGGCGCCAGCGTTGTCGGCTCGGCGTTGGCGTTTCACAGCGGCATTTCCAGCCCACATTTCCAAATGTTCTGGAGAGGCTCCCAGCCAGCGATCAGTCGAGAGAGAGGCACGAGCGGGCAGAAAGTAGGGCGCAGGGAGGACAGAGAGCGAATGGTGAGAGAAGGAGCATTGCACCCGCTCTCTCCTACACTTTCTTGCACCACATGTGACGGTTGCTAGGGACGATGATAAGCACATGCGCCAGAGCTGTGGCTATGAAAGAGGAAGTTAGAGCTCAGATATCACACCTACCCGCGTGGGGACACCGCCAGATGCCTGACAGCCTAAGAAATGCACTCACATTTAAAACATACTATAAGTTGCACCTATAGATTGTGAAGTGCATTGCTGGCTGTGAAAATAGAGCTATTTTATTATAGCACATGTCGGTAAAACTACTCAATGAGAAGAGAAATAATAAAACTGCCCTTTCTCTTGTCATATGTGCACATGATTTCTACCATTTGTGTAACGGTGGCCGGGAACGAGCACACGTGGGCAAAAGAAATGGGACATAAAATAAGACAATGCCAAGAGATAAAGAAGAAAGATCAGTATTCAAAAACAATACAAAAACAAGGGTGCTCAAGCACCAAAGTTGAACATGACGAAAACAGTGCCACAAACTGGACAAAGATAAAGATGACGTACCTTGGGAGTAGTGCAGGGCCGTTTCCATGGCCAGACGGCGTGTTGTGTTCCACCGCACTTTTTCGGAACTATTCGGGACACGAGGCAGGCCTGTCTCGGAGTCATTGGCTGGCCACCAGCCTTGCCAAATGTACATTTCATGACGGTTGTCGAGGAAAAACACAGCTGCAAGGAAGAAAGTTGCACAGCAGTTTTACTAGACAATGTGTAGGAGCAGCAGAGTTGGCATGCCATAATATTAAAGCACCAGCACAAAAAGATGTGCAGCTAACAAAGAAATGACAACAACTGCTGTCCTCATCATTTTCTTGCCTACTGTGCACATTTCGGCCCTGAACCTTTTACTAAGCAAGGTGTACAGAGCCAAAAGATAAAAATGAACAGTGAAGAATGCTTGCTGCCTAATTTCTGTACAGTAGGTATGTGCGAATATTCGAATGTTTAGAATATTCGAACGAATAATGCAGTATTCGATAATCCGCTTTGCATCAGATATAAGTTATGGCAAATTCCAAAACAAAATATTTTACAGCCCATCACTTGCATTCTACGGAAAGTCCAATCCTTATATAATTCAAAGTTGTTTCCACTTCCTTTGACGCAAAAAAACTGCAGTTGCACAGGCCTCATTTCAATTAAAAAAAATATTGAGCAGGTTAGCTGGTCATGACAAATATGTCCATTTTCATTTATGATATGAGATACATATATACTATTCCAATTTTCATGAAAATTTTCAACCAAAATCACTGTTTGCTTCAAAGTTGCTTGGAACCTATAATTCCCTATTCACACAAGCCCAGTGGTAAAATTCACTATTCGCACCTGAATGATAAAACACTCAAGGTGTCAATGATACAATCGTGATAATTGTTCAGTTCTGCACAAAAGGAGTAATGAACAACTTTTTTTGTCTCTTTCCAAACTTTATCAAACTTTTTTGTCTCTTTCCACTTTTTTTCTTCTCTTTCAATCTCCCCCTTCCTGTTCCCCCGTGTAAGTCAGCAAACCAGCTTTCCTGGTTTGGATAACCTCCCTGCCTTTCCTTCTCTACCATTTGTTCTCTTTTCAAGAAATCATCAAATTACCTCAGCGTCTGCGTTTACTGTCCTTTGGACTCATTGCCGAAGATTTTTTAGAGTGAAGGTTTGTCGGGTGCAAGCATTTTCTTTGCGTCATGCCGTCGTGTGCATGTGATTAAATGTAATGTTTCTCTCCTGCCAAAAATTTCTGTGTGCGAGTGTGGCAAACTCTGTAATGCTAGCAGACTTCGGAACATGGCATTCACTGAATAATTCAACTTGGCAGGTCAGCATGCAAGCACCTAAAAGCAATGGCAATGTCAATAGTGAAAGCTTTATTTTGAAGGACAGTGAACATGTTTACCACATGCGCACCTTCCTCTGAATGCATCCGTTTTCAGTCCCGCACCCCTTTTTTTTTCCTGGATGAAATCTGGATTAGTTTTGCCTTTTTTGAGTGTACCTAAACTCAAGTGCTTGAAGAGTGTTTTTGTTCATCTGTGAAGGCTGTGAAGGCTGAATCAGAATCTGGTCATCACAGTAATCACCTCAGGGTTATTTAATCCTTCACTGCGGTATGTCGCGATTGCACAACAAAGCAAAATACTTCGAGCAAGCAAGTCACAGAAGTTGCGCCACCTTTAATGCTGGCTATCAAGTACACGCAGATAACGTAGCTTGTAGCGTAAAAAAAGCTAGCACTATCTTGTTAATGCATTTTGTGCTAGAACTAATTGTTTCCTAGCTGATGATGAAGAGCACGAAGCATGTGCAAGAACGCTCACTTCATTCTTTCTCACCTGGCTGGCCCAAGTTCCACCTCCAATAAATCCCAGAAGTGTGTTTCGTTGGGCTAGTAAGTCAAACATGGTATAAGGTAAAAATGGCGCAAACTAGAAGAGACAAAGTACGAAGTATTTCTTGCCCTGAAGCAATAAGCAGTCAGTTAGTCGGCGCTGGTCCTGTCATTTCTTCATACTTGGTCTCTTTTAGTTAGCACTGTTTTTACCTTTTTTTATCTTCAATGATTTTTTGTTTACTTAGTGTGTACGCGCTCAAGACGTGGCACCCGACATGTGTAGTTCTTGGGTACCTTTTTCATTGCAAGGTCTTCAATCCTGTGGCATGTGGAGGATTCGTGGCATACATAGAAGTATACTTTAAAGGTGAATTTTAGATATTTTAACTGTGGAATCACTTAAAGCTGGAAAATGAAAACAACTTTTTTCTATGGCAGTTTCATATTTAAGCATTAAAGGGTCAAGTCTGTTGAAGTTTATCTAGTCAACCAGACTTTTCTTTAATACCGTATTTACACGATTGTAAGACGACCCTTTTTTTTCAAATTTGAAAATCCAATGTTGGGGGGTCGTCTTAGAATCGAAATCGAACCATGTACCTTAGAATCGAAATCGAACCATGTATTGTCATCTCGAATAGTTTCCCGCTCAACCCAAAGCGCATAGTTTTCCGCGTGCTTATACAAAAGCTTTTCTTTTTTTAGCATCTACTGCGCGCATTACGAGTGCCTTTATGACGTGCGCACGGCTTTTGAGGGAGCACCGCTAATCGATGGAAGAGCCGCCGTAGGGGGGTACTGGTAGTTGACGGAAGAGCTCCTCTTTGTGATACAATTTTCTAAGCGGGCGTCGCCGCGTGCTCCTGTCGCTTGTGTCCACGACCGGCTCTCTCGAGTCACTTCTGTCTGACATGAGTGCCGTAGGCTCGAAGAACACTCGGCACTCGTTTACGGCAGCGTTTAAGCGGGCTGCTATTCTTCATGCGGAGGAAACCAACAACTGTGCAGCAGGACGGAAGTTCGGAATCGGTGAATGTGTGGTGCGGAAGTGGCGGCTTCAGCGCGAGGAAATTTTCTCGTGCGACTCCAAGCGCCGTGGCTTTCGCGGGCCGAAGTCTGGCCGCTTTTCGGAACTAGAGGCGAAGCTTGCGGCCTACTCACACTTGACGACGACGTGCTGTGGGACTGCAGCAGCAATGACGGCAGCAGCACCAGCGAGGACGACTCCAGCGACGATGAATAATCCTCCGCAACCACGTGAATAAATTTCCCTTGTGTAAAATGCACGAGTTCTTTTTTTTTTTTTTGAGATGAGATTTTGGGGGGTCGTCTTACATTCGAGTCGTCTTACAATCGTGTAAATACGGTAATATTTATAACAAACACTATACTATCACATTACACTTTCTAGCCACGCAAGTGCCAACTGGCACGTATACTTTTTTAAAAGCTCACCTGGTTGCGGAGCATTGTACAGGTCAGACTGCAAGAATGGGTAGGCACAAGGCACATCAGTTTTCTGAAAGGGGCAGAACACTTCGTTGGCTTCAAAGGTGCCGGACACCAGCGTCATGTGAAAGAGCCTCGGCGTGAAATCGAAATCAAGGGTGCCTGCAGAGCATGAAGCAAAAGACTTGCTTTTGATTGCACAACACCATGAACTGGTTGCGACAACACAACGGCAAAATAATATTCACTGCATTGCACCAGCACGCTACGTGCAGTTCCCTCATTAACATTATACGATGCACTCCAATAGAAAAGGCTTTTTATAGAGGTGTGAGAATACTTTCAAATAGTGTTTGCTACATGATGCAATCCAACCGTAATTTTACATTTCAATACATTTTAAATTCAAGAAAAGAGATGTATTAATGATTTCATTAGCTAAAATTTAATCCTAGTGCTTTTAAGTGATGCATGTAAGCCCTACCAAAAGATTAATGGCCATCACCACAACCTTACACCATTTTTTTGGAAGGTAGCTTCAATAGCTGTGCCCGGACTTGAAAAAGTGCAGTGTAAAAGTGCAAAGCACAGCATTTGCCTAAAACTGAATGTAACACTTAGCCAGTTTTTGAAAGCTCGAAATAAAAATGCGTATGCGTGTAACCTTACAAGGCACTTTAACGGAATGCCACTGGGTTAGCGGCCAGAAGAAAAACAGAAAAGCACAATGCACCCTCAAGTGAAATTCTGCTCACAATTCCTTCTCTTCAGTTATCCACTTTCACTGGCTCTAAAGTCACTTGTGAACATACCTCAGTTGCATGCCGCTTCCAGGGCCGTTACTAAGACAAGCTCAGTGCGCACAGAGCAGCTAGAAAACACCGAACAGCTTTTCATCGAAATCCGTATATTTTCTTACTTTCAGTCCATAGAAACTTTTCCTGATCATTTTACTGCTGAAAGTTTATTTCCTTTATTTGCACTAATAACAGACATTGATTTTTGACATGCATAACAGGCGTACCATTGCTGTCCTTGGCAAATGAAAACCTTCCCATGATAGGAGCTTTCATAATGAAAGGGGTGCGACACTATTTCCACTTCGCTAGGAACAAACGTTATGCCAACAGAGCGTAGTCAAGCACGAAATGAGCATGAGTGGACAAGCTTTAAAACATATTTCTTTGCTACGATATCACTACATCTGCCACTGGCGGCCGGCTGCTGCTAATGTCGATTCCAAGAACATGGCTTCGCTTTTACACTCAAATCTGTCTGTAAAGCATTCGAATAATGTCTTGACACGGCCTGCAATACAAAATCCATAAGTATGACCCACAAAATGGGGAAATATCAAGTTATCCAGGCTTGTGGCAATATACTGTGCAAAACGCCATCCACGACACTAGGCAGCAGCCAGCAGCATGGTTTCATTTTCACACAGTGGAGGACGTGCTGCCTCCACATTTACAGGCTGTCATACAAAATGAATTGTTCTATTTTTTGCCATGTTTTCCAGTGCATTTTAATACCAAAGCGTTATTTGGCCAGGTTTGCGAGAGAGGGCACTTGTCCTGCATCCACAAAAGCCACGTGCAGAAAGTACGTGGCTTCTTCCAATGGAACTGACACTGGTGCCAACCACTGCCACAATACCACTTGCAGCCATGGAGCAGGAGAGGGAAATCCATGCAGCTTAAGAGGAACTTTAGACTTGAAGGAAGCACGTCCTTTTCCACCACATCAGTTGGGGAAAAGTTGGAGGAGGAGAGGTAAAGGGCCTAGTGGCTTTTCCTTTCTCCCGTAAAGTATCGTCAACATCACTTCAGTAGTACTGAATCACATACAAACACAGTTCTGTCTCTGAAATGCCTCATTATTGGGAAACCTGGGGTGCACAAATTAACAGCACCCCTTTAGCACCTCACCGACTTGGGCAAAAATGCTTTCGTGTTCCTATCTCGCAAGAATATGCCTAGGGATGCTCCGAAACTTTTTCCATTTTGCTTTGAAGTAGTCTAAACATATTCGACAAATATTAGATTTGCATTACACTCGAAGTTCACTATTAAAATTCGCTTTGCACCCGAAATTTCGCTATTCACACAGCTCTGACTTTTTTTATAGAGCTTCAGAAAGAAGGTGCACTCACTGTCTAAAGCGAGACAAACAGGTGCTGTTTCTTCTTTTTGTCGCCTCCAAACGCATCCCAAAAGCCGCGCTCCTCAGCACCTTCCTTCACTTCCGTTAGTTTCAGCTCAACATCCTCCGATAAGGACATCTCTTTTGGTGTTCTGCAACAAGAACACAATGATTCAAAATAGACATAGCAAGCGAGACTCATCCATTCCACTACCAACATTGAAAACTATGAAAACGTGGAAGAGCACGATTGCACGTTCCATATCAGCAGCTACAACAAAACATCACCACATGCCGGACAAAAGGTCTGCACAAGAAGCTCGTATAAGAGGTAAAACATTTCCAACTTATCCACCATTCCTGTGGAAACGGTCTACCTGAATGTGAGCATAGCCAGTCTGTTCTAACTCTTCGAAAATATTTGTTGCCCTTCAGGAACAGTGGAGCAACTTTTTACTGGCTACAAAGTATTGGCAGTGACAAAATTTGGTTTTAAGGCATAGGAACAGGAATTTTAGTGGGACATTGATACAGGCTTTGCATGGCATAAAAATGCTGTTTATGCACTACCTCAAATCGCAGAGAATTCCCCAACACGCAAGGAATAACATTCTCACATATATGAGTGTAGTTAAAGATACTCGGCAACATCTCATATTCGCCGTCACAGCAACTTTCAATTTATGTGGTCATTATTTCAACACCCATGCTAGGCAGATTGGAAACATTGACTGACGGGTCCACTCTGACACCATGCTTGCAGCAACCAACACCAATTTTCCCGCTTCATATTCACAAAGTATCAATGCAGGCCTGAGCAAAACGATGCAAGACAGGATTATCAAGCACAAGAAAGACTAACACGACAGGCATATTTATTCAGTGTAGGCAGTAGTTATCTTGAACACGCATGCACGCATCAAAACACAAGTACTGCCATAGTCGCACGAAGCCCAGTGATTCTGAGAGTGACATTTCCAGGTTATAGGTTAAAACTAAATGAACAGAATTATTTGACAAAATGGGCTATCAGAGTTAAAGGGCAATCGATGCACCATTCACATTTCAGATCACAGATGCATATCGACCAAAACAGTGATCAACAGGGCTGAGCAAGCAAATAGACTTCAGTAAAAGGAACTACCGTATTCACTCGCGCAATCCTCGCACTCGCATATTTCTCGCAACCCCCACATTGCCCAAGAAAAATACAATTTTTTTTTTCCTTGAGTAATTATCGCACCCCTGAAAACTCCCGCAATGTCGTTTGCTCGTTCCAGCCATTGATGATGGAAGCGGGCGCTATCTGGCGCCATCTCTTAAGCATCAAGCGTACTATTGCACGGAGATTCAATCCAATCCAAGCCAAGCCGAAGTGGCCAGTGCGCGTTGCGGCGTGTTTTGTATGTTGTGACGGTAATCTTGGCACGTTACGGGGCGATACTCTCTGTGTCGTCGTTTTGTTCTCGCGCTATAACTATCGTCATGCCATAACAATTAGCCCAAGCTGACGCACATCTACGCCATACTGAAGCCACACGGCTGCTTCAAGTTGCAAGTAATAGATCATGCACTAAACAACCGCAACAGGGCCACCGGTAGGCCTTTCGGAGCCTACGAGCTTTGTGTTCGCTACTGGTGACGGCAGCTGAAAGCCACCAAACCGCGTTGGGCCTGCTGGGTGCCTAAAACTGGGATTGATGGTAAACGTTATTTCTTCAGAAGGAAACTGCGGACAATTCTGTTAAATAGCCATCAGCCCAATACTGACGTCTTACGCTTACCTTTTGAGGGCTCCTGTTGAGCGCCGACCGCTACCGCTACGCCCGCAAGCTTCGCGTATGGTATTCTAATTCTCTACTATTTGCTTCCACTTTTTGTGTCTCAAATAAATCTTGCATTGTGTTGAACCTCTGCTTTTATTGTTGAGGTAAGCTCTAATTAGTACTTCTTAAAGCTTGCTGTAAGTCGCTGGCGTGAGAATCCCGATTTGTGGCCACTTCGTTTTCTTTTTCGCTCTCTGCGTTTTCGTAGAAAGTTTTCCCCGGGTAATTCTCTCACCCCCCAACTTTGCATCAGTTTTCTGGCAAACGAGGATTATGCGAGTAAATACGGTAACTATGCTTCACTGACGTAACGTTGCGTGGGCTGATAAAACAGAGAAACTAGTGTCATCAATTGGTCGCCTATTCTTTTTTTCAATTTCTCTTCTTTTGCTAGGTTTTCCTTTCATTTGCTCTACTAGTTTAGCTTTTTGATGCCACTGCCCTGCTGATTAATTAGTCCTTGTGACATAAAGTCAGAACAGCTGAGTTAGTTCTTAGCTAGTTTTCTTTATTGCATTTTTTTAGATTTTTGGCCATTAAAGCAAGCCCAATCTCTCTTCAAACTTTTTTTTTTGTCTCCCTCATTCTTTTGAATCAGAACGACATTGTCATTGCCATTCCTTCACAAATTCCTAGTGAACTCTAAAGAGGCCGCTTCTCCTCCAGGAGAGCGGACGACTTTAGCTATTGCCAAACACTTCCTTTGTCCCCTTCAGCGGTGGTGGCTATGTTTGGGTACGCACCTTGTTTGCGCTAGTTACGTCAACTTGTGGCCAAGAAGAAGAGCCCAATTTATTGTTAGTTTCATTATTTGAACCCTTTGCATGGTCAGTATGTCATAACTTGACCTCAGTGTGGTGTTAATGACTGACCGATATGTTTGTTGAAGGCACTAGCATAATGTTTGATGGGTCGTTCGACGCGCCATGTTACAGAACTGAAGCCAGAAAGTATTAACATTCTTTTCACGAAATGAACACAACAAAAAAATAATTACGCACACTTTTGGAACCTAGAATTTCATTCTATTTAAGTCGAAATGGAACATGAAGTATTCAAGGATATGCTATTGTAGCGACAGGATGGCGTCCGACGTAGACGCGCCGTTGTCGCTGGTTTAATGCAAGGACGAGAGACGAGACCTGCAGGAAGAGAGCTGCCGAAGAAGAGCAGCGGCTGTGGCGTCCACCAGCCAGAAGCCTACGAACCTACTGGGCGCCTCGCGCCACAGGAGCCACCAGCGCTCGTCATCTTTTTCTCTAGCCAGCTGGCCACCACTAGCGCTATGCTACACTATTTATAATTAATCATCGAGACTCGCACAAAACAAAACATGGCCATTTTCTTTCTAGAAATGTAATGTTAAGTGCCTTTTAATTATATGTGAGTTTGACGCATACGTCGACAATGTATCCTAATTCGCACTTGAAAAGGTTATAGACAGAACCAGCATTTGGGCGACGTAAACTCCAGTGCAATCAACTAGCTTTATTAGCCTGAAAACATATTTTATATCACCACCTACACTAGATGAACACTGGTGATTGTGTCCCTTTGTCTTTATTCTCATTCCTTTTGCAATCACCACCCAACACATTTATAAAAAAACTTTCATTTTTAGTGGACTGGAGATGAATAGTGGGGCCCACCCCATCAATGTGGCACACACCACTAGGTATTGATAACGACACTCGGTAGGAATTCATGTCGACTTTAAAAAGTACCACTGTTAAAGCAAGGTCGTAGAGTAGAGACTCACTCTTCCACGATAGCCTTTGCTGCAACTTGTGCTACTTCCACGAAGTGTGGGCTGCACTTGGCCCCGTGCCACAGATAACAGCGGCCGGTCGAGCGACTCAGCACCAGGAAAGAGCCACGGCTGCGCAGGTTCTGAACTCCGACAGGCGTCTCCACCAAAGCTGCCTCCAAGGGGCACTCGCCACGAACCACAAACATGCGCCAATCTCCTGCAATGCAGGTATCGTCAAATGACACAATATTCAATACAACAATGCTCAAAGACTCGGACAACACAGTATCAAATTACTTGATTAATAATGCCATTAGTTGCTTGAATGAATGATTTTGCTTTTTTTTTATTATTTTAGGCTACCAGAAAACTAATGCACGGCAACTACCAAAGTTGATTTTCCTTACCAAGAAGTGCTAAAAATGAGTGTTCAGGGCACAAAGACAACCAGCCGTAGTGGTAGGTCAACTTTATTCTAAAGCATACACGGCACAACTTATGCCATATGCAAGAACATAGCTCTTGTAATCAAGTAAACATGGGAACAAATATTGCAGTTACTTGTGCAAAACATACCAGGAAAGTGATGAATTCTTTAATTAAACAACAAAAGTTCAATTCATGGCAGGAACCCATTGGAGTTTTGTAAATTAATATAGCCATATGCATCGAAACTGTCTAGCTTCTTGCTCAGAAAAAATTGGCCCCGTATCTGCATGTTACATCGCAAATGTCGTCGAAAGACGATAGTCTTGAGTCTGGAGAGAGTGAACAAAACGTTTATTTGATGTTCTGCGCAAGAAAATCGGTGAATGGTATTTTGGAGGCGCTGCGTTAGAGTGCCTCGAGCGTGCAGCGGAGGCAAACGAGCGCATCAAGTCACGTCACATGTGAAACATGAGCGCTATCTGGCAGTTATCCTGGAAAATGGACTGCATGCCGTGCGCGCCGCTCTCTGGGGTGATAATGAGTAAAACGCAAGGCGATGGGTAGGTGCCACCACCGTGTCGTCTTAGCAAAGCGTTGGAAACACTTGCCATTTTATGTAAGCATTGCATCGCCAGTACAGCGTTATAAAGGCTATGATCCTTAGAATTACTTATGTATGCCTTTTCTAGTACTATAAAGGAACACATATGGAATATTGAAGTGTTGTTATGGTGCCTCAGATATGTGCAATAATTACTTTTTAATTGACAATCACACAAGTATTAATGCTGAACCTTGAACAACACTGGTGGCCGCTGCAGATGGGGTCGGCCGTTTGGAGTATCGTTTGGTCCCTTTGGTGCCGTTTAAGGTACGGTTAAGGGTGAAAAAACAGACAAATGTACAGAAAGACAGACAGACAATTTTTGCATTGAAAGTCTCTAAAACCGTCCTTAATAATCTTTAAAAGACTACTGGCCATTAATGAAGCATTTGTGAAAAAAAAAGTTGCACTCACCTTTAGCCTCATTACACATATTCTACTTGACTGTTAATGTAAAATAGCTGCCTTTATTGTCCTGTTTAGTAATAAAGACTGAATCGAGGTAATCTGGGAAACACATCCTTTAAATTGGGCCATCAACAACCCCTTCAAAATCTGTGTGTTGTCTAAACCAACCTGAGTGAGTGGCCTCCTCTTGACGTTTCCCATTGTAGACAACCATCTTGCCCTTGAAGAGGTTCAGAAAGCAGGGTGGTTCCCTACCTTGCAAGACACGCACCTAAATAAATGGACAAACAAAAGGACGAGCGTATATGTGATTTCGAACCTCCACAATTTCTGAAACAGCACTTAGTAAGTAGTATTCCAGTCCCAGCCGTCATTCCCAATTGATGGACGAAAGTTGCATGTGTACACGAACTTCCTCTTGCACAGAGCAAAAGAAGAAAGGGTGTATGCACTCGTGCAATTAGAACATACATAAAACTTGCAGGGTCTGTAATTCATTCACCTAAAATAACTCAAAGCAAAAGACATTGATGCACCCCGGTCCACTCCTGAAATTTTTTTGTCCGTGATCAATTCCTTTGCCTTCAGTATTGAAGGCATTGCAAGCTTTTACATCAGAGCTGTGATGCACGTGGTTTGCAGTGTGTTGTACATAGAACATTATCATAAACTGGCGCATGCCTATCATCCTCGTCTTGCTTCACACCTATAACAAGTGCCCCGACTTGTTTGGCAAGGGATCCAATAACTAGGCTCGTGTGAATATTTGGGATGTGCAAATATAAGCGTTTCCAAATATGAATATAATAGTACCTAGCCAAATAATTCAATACGAATTTTGAATAGCTAGTATTCAAACATTCGAATCATTCGTAAGGACAGATATGTAAAACACGACCAAGACCCTTCAATGGTACAACTTGGTTAGAGTGGGATAGCTAAAACTAACTATTGTCGTTGCACTAGTCCTGTCGTTAATTTCACCGTTACCCGGGTTCAAAAGTGAGCACATGTTTATTTGAAAGGCGATAACGTCATTTATGCCCATCATGGCCTGAACAGAGAAGACCAGACAACATTCCGAGAGACTGTGGTACTGCTGGCATACAGAAATAACCAGGCCACTGAGCTCACAAGAAGTTCACAAATGCCACAATGAGCCTCAGACCCCAAAAAAAGCACGATCCTTTGAAACACTAAACGGCATGGAGCTGCACTTTATTCAAGTATCGCCAGAACTGCTTTAAGATACCTTCGCACTACCGCTTCGGAAGTACCCAGTGAGTGCACATTTTAAAACACAGAAAACAATGAACATCACAGCGAGAGAGCCTGAAGCCAGGTCATGTGGTACAGCTTGTTTTTCTGCATAATTTGTAGTCTTTACTAAGCAGTTATTCATCACAATATTGGCTCGAGAACACTAGCTGATTGAATTTTTTCTTTCATTTTTGAACAAAATCTTTCGTATTCAATAATCACTTCGATATTATATGCTTTTAGCCACTATTCGGCACTATACGATTCAAATTCTATTATACAGAAACTTTTCCTATTCGCACGCCCCTTGTGGATATTTGAGCATTTCGAATATTCGAACAAATATAAACATATTTGAATTTGCTTTTATTTTCATTAATTTATTGGAAATTTGAAGGTACAGTCCAACCCCATCACAACGAAACTGACGGGGCATGGAAAAAATTTTGTTGTAGTGAAATAAAAAAAATACAGCTGATCTGAGCTAACAAAACAAAGGAACGTTTATTCTCAAAATTCAAAAAGTGTCCGCTGCTTCCAATTTTTTCCCAGCAATAACGCGACGCGATTCTCACCCACGCATTGCGAGGCCATGGTGAAAAGCATGCTGAAATAAGGCCTACAACCGCTTTCGTAAACGAACCAAACAGCTGCATTAACATATTAGCACCAGCAGCTGTCTGTCGTCAAAGCATCTGTCAACGCTGAGATGGAGGCAGGGTATCCTGGAGCGGCGACTTTTGCCTTATTCTATACCATCTTTATCATCCACCACTCGCGGCTAGCTGATTTTATTGATAATGTGGACGAACAGGTGCTCTGATTAGTTACCACAATGGCCAAGCGCGAACGAAATGATACGCAATGGCATCGAAAAAGGCATTGTTAGGTACAGCTGCGTGGAAAAAAACCACGAACTGAGCGACTGAGCTTCAGCTTCAGATCGTCTGTGGCTCAAAAGCAAGCCAGTGGCAAAAGCAGGGCAGTCTCATTGCCATTGCTATTGAGTGATGGCGGCGCCCGTGCTTGCTGAACAGCGGCGGTTTCTGGTGGTGCCAACGCGTATTTTGAAGTTCTGAAAATGCATCAAAATGTTAAAGACTGTCTTTACTCTATAGCAATAAATATTTCAACCTGGAATTGCATTGCGAAATTTAGTTGAAGTGGGACGGCAGAAGAAAAAGTGTTCATTGTGGCGACAATACTTATGCATTGACTTCTATAGACTGCCGAAAGGGACGGCGAATTTTTCGTTGTAGCCGAAATTTCGTTGAAGCGGCGTTCGTTATAGCAAAGTTCGACTGTATTCAAAATGAATGAATAGGTGCAGCAATGCTTTTGTTTGGGCTAGTTGATGTATACTCGCTTTGGCATACCGTCATAAAGTTGGAAGTTTGAGCCTGTGCTGTGCACATATCTTACTTGACAGTTTCTTTAGAGCAGCCATGCATTATGTTCCAACAAATAAGTGTATGTTGACTCCCACATAACCCTTTTGCCTCTGCAAAGATGGCTGTATACCAGTGGAGGGATGCTATACCATGAATATATACAATAAATACGCCTTTCGAAAAAAAAAAAAATCCGCACTAGCGCAAAGCCCCACTTCAAGGTTAAATGAACATGTTACCCACACATTCGATTCTTCCTTTCTTTTAAGTTTAAAAGCTGGTTATCCCGGCTGATATGCTTGAAGAATAGCAAACTTTATTATAAACCATAACATATCTCAAGGCTATCACTTGCATTCTACTGAAAGTCAAATCCTGCAACTATTTAAAGGTTGTTTGCACTTTCTGTGAACTGAAAAGAATGGCATTTGCACATGACAAATGTGGTTATTTTTTTTATAATACGTGATACATGCTATTCGAAATCAATTTGAAGTTATTCAATTTATATTGATATTCCATTCGAATTCGCTTTGAACCTAAAATTCACTATTCCCACAAGCCTACAAACAACTCTGATCGAGGAGAAAACGGGTACAAATAATAAAAGAAATTATTGGAAAAAAAAATCGCGTTTCATACTGCAAGAGTGAAGCAATGAATGTGATGGCAACAAATTTTAATGTTATGTGAAATAAGGCTGGTAGCCAGCTTTGTTAAATCCAGACTTTCATAACTCTACAGAACATTGGTAAAGGAAATATCGGCCCCTTTAGGGACAGAAGTGGATTTTACACAGTCTCTTCAGTGCAGTATGTAGAGAGAGCCGTCTGATGATGTCTGCTGAAATAGCGCATGTGCCAGCGATTGCCGCCACTCCCTGGTCAAAGTTCACAGTTGCTGCTCATAAGAATATTCATCGAAAAGGAATGATTGAATAGGGATCGGTCTTGGTCAAAAAGAATCATTCTACATAGAACAGGTTAAACAGGGAGCTGCTTGAGTGGCAGCTGTTTAACTGAGAACAGTGACAATCCCTGTTCAATTTTATCATCACTTCAATGACTGCGCAGCTGCTTATATAGTTAGGTGGATGACAAAGTGAATGTGGGAGAAATGCAAACTTTTTAAAAAATACACTAAGATATATAAAACAAGCCAGGTAGCCCAATTGCCATCTCACTAAGTGAAGGGTTCTAGTTTGGACAATTCTTTATTGGGCATCTAAATTTAAGCATGTGAACACTTTTGTATTTCATTTTTTTAGGTACTGTCCCCAAAGCTGTTAATCAAACCTTTGACCTTGTGCAGCAGAGTGTCAGAACCCAAAAGCAAGCAAAGCCACCACAGCAGGTGACATGCATTCGTATGTGCGAAGTTGGGCACAAGAATGTGTTACTGAGAAAGCCACCAGACTTGCTGCACTTGAAAACACTTCTGATAGCACTGAGCATCACTGTGCAAGCTCGAAATCTGCAGTACTTGTAGATGTATACTCAAACCTCAAAATAACAAAGCTGGATATACCGTATTTACTCACGTATTGAACCCACTCGCATAATGAACCCATCCCCCACCTTGGTCCATGGAAAAAAAAAAAGCAAGCTTTTTTAATGTATCTGTTCATTTTGTTTCAGTATGATAGCCAGTGACATTCAGGGTCGAAACAACGTTAAATCGAACAATTATATCACGAAATAACAATGCATTAAAAGTCAAAACAGTTTAGCAACTGTGCTAAACATTTGCGAGCAGCGCGAGCGCGGAAAAAGTCAATAAAAATTTGAAAAGTCGAGCCTTTTGCAGCAAAGCGCCATCTGTCAAATACACGAGAAACCTCTTTGCTGATCGTGCCACAAAAACAAAGCAACAACAAAGAGCGTGGTCTCCAAAATGGTGGGCGCACGACATAGAAACACGCCACGCGCCCGCCATCTCGGAATACCATGCAAAGGCCAACCGCGACAACGGCGTGTCGTGCACACGCAACTTTACTACCGAAGCGCTTGTGTGCCGCCATTCGACGCTGCGCTTTTGTTCTCTGGTTTGTCCTGAACTTTTTTGGGACACCTGCTGCGCAGATAGCGTTCGGCCGGTGCGCTAGCTACACAGCAGGTTACAAACAGCATGCAGTGTAGCATGGGAACCAAGGGGCTGAACGACACTTCGGCGTCTATTCCTGCGCTTTCGTTATGGGAGTAAAAGAGCTTATGGGTACAAAAAAAAAAATTGACGTGCATTTCTTGGACCAAAACAAGCAAAGCCGTCACGTGTAAATTTTGCTGTAATAACTCTCTTGACTTTTTTTTCTTCTGCGCAATGAACCCTCCCCCCAAATTAGCATCAACTTTTCTGAAAAAAAGGTGGGTTCATTACGAGAGTAAATACGGTAATGAAATACTATCGGTTGTAATATTTTTATGAAGCACAGTGCAATGCATACAGTGTTAGGAATATACATTTATGATGAATTCCTCGAATATATAACAAACTTAATTTTGTGTAGGATAAAGGTTGTTATAACAAGGTTTGACTGTATAACTTGAAAACAGAATGTTGCCAACTCACGTGAGGTCCCCGTTCTTCATCTAGTTCAACGGTGAGCAAGGCAGAAGCCCCTTGCTCGGTAACTGTGGAATCCCGGCCATGCCAGAAGAAGTAAGCACATCGCTCCCTCCCTGCGGCCACGTGCCGTGACCTCTGCCCGGACAGGTGGCGTCCTGTTGAGCGCAGAGAACAGTTCACACGTCAGCTAACTCACCTGTACCACTACCAGGTTCTCTTCTTTGTTCCTCACAAAAATTATAAAAAAGTATGCGACAAGGGAAGTTTTAGAATGACATGGGCACTCTAGCGCAGCTGCAACCATTGCCACCACCTTGATTTTTACTATTGAAGTACAACTTCTCTACGTCAAGGTCTTACAGCCAATATATTTACATACGATCACGGCTTGCAAAACGATGTACAGGGTTCGTCCCAAGTTCCCCGGCCACTATCCCATGTATTGCTACTGAAGCATGGCCTGAGAACTTTTGACAGTCCCTGTACATCACTGACTTATCTCGAGTAAAGTATGGTGTACATCTACAAATCAATCACCGTAAACTTCCAAGCAATCATCCCCACTTGAGCAGGCGCCCCTCTAGCTTCACTGATGCTTTTCAGTTTCCATGCCATTGTGCGAACTTCCTGTCGTTTGATCACGCTGCCTCTGTTTTTCGCGTTTTTACATCATTGTAACATGTCGTGCCATAAGCGAGAGCCAAAAGAATTCTGAGGAAATCCATGCACATTGTCGACATCTTGAATTTTAAAATAGTTTTGGAAAAGCACCCGCCCTCCACCTTGGCAGTTTTTTAAATTGCTGAAAGGGCGGCACTTTCTTTTAATGTTACAGAACGTATGCGAACCAAGGTCTCAGGGCTCCAGGTGCTTTTTCTTTCACAGCTCTTCAATATAAAACAATGTAAAAAAATAAATTCCGATGACTTGCCTGTTTGAGACACAGTATACTGCCACCGAACAACATAGGTGTCACCGCTGTGAAACTGGCCATAACTTGAATCTGGAAGTGTCTTGTGCTCATATTCCATTATGTGCCAAACCTGAAAAAGGACCAAATTTATCAGTACTTACTAATTCAGTGAAAGCACTGCGCTATGCATGCGACATGTTTATATCGAGCCTTGTTCAGATCACCTGCTTCACAAAAGTCGCAGACAAACTGACGGTATGGTGCATTTAAAAGTACAACGTAATACCAGAAGTTTGAAATCACTTGATTTCGACTAACCAATCATTGAAAAAGATAAGCTGGTCATGGCAAAGTTACACCTATGTGAGTTAGGATAAGCTCCTTCATATTAAAGTTCCTAGAATTTCACAACAATTACCTTGAACCACAGTTCTTGCTCTGATCATGTTTAGGAGAAACCCAAGTAACGTCAACTTTCGGTGAATTGGTATGCCCACATTAACGACACATCTCACAAAAACTTAGCTTCTTAGCTTTGTGCTATGTGTTAAGTTCAAAGTGTGGCCAACTGCACTCATGGAACATAAATAACACACACTGAATGAGATCTATAACATACTGTCGCCACAGATGCATTGGCGAATCAACGAGAACGATGAGGTAAAAAATTAGGCTTTATCCTTTTTTTCATCATTTATGATTGACTAGTACAACAAACATGTTCATGTCTCGAGCAACAACCATGACCAAAATATCGCACAGCAAGTGCAAGCACAAGTGCTTATACGCGATAGCATGTTTACGGGCAAAAAAAGAGCACAATTTTAAATTAGTTGAATCATATGTTTACAAAGTGCCTGTCAATTCTGAACTATCAGTCTGCAATTATTGTGCACTGCACTAAGCATGTTATCGAGAATGTCTTTAAGGGGCTCTTTTGTTCGAACTTGGGTCTTAAATTCTCTCGTGTCAGTAGAATTTGCATTAGAGTTTCACTGTTGTGTAGATGTATTGCCATATACACAATTACATGAGTAGTCAAACTTCAGAACACAAAGTTTTAGCATGAAGTTCTGAAAAGAAGAAAGCAAAACCTTTCAAAATGCTTAAAGCTTTACCTTTATTGCTATTGTGTTTATGTAATACTGTCTGCGTTCAAGTGAGTCGTAGTACTCGAGTCCTCGTCCAAGATGGGATCCCGAAAGCTCAAGGTCTGGCTCATTGGGACGTCTTTCCAGCAGCTCCTTGGCATCACATGGCTTTAGCTCCGAATCAAGGGAGTCGGCCTGTGGTGTAAAGGGGAGAAACATCAAAAACTTGTTCCATTTTAGTCTCCCTCAAAAGTGAGCAGACTCTTGATAATCACAGCAATATGAAAGTAGACTAACAGTTGATAGTCTGTGCTCGTACAGTCTACGTCTACTTGTACTTTGAACCTTTTCGAAAAAGCTAGTAACCACTACGAGAGACTAAGCGGAGATACAGAGAGCAGCATACAATGAATGGCTGAAAGCAACACACCTTGCTATCTTCCTGGGCTTTGTTTTTGACACGAATCAGTTTCGCATCATCTGGCCAGTCAAGGAACTTTTCTTTGAAGAGAACAGGCTCCATGTGCTGGTTAACCTTGGCGAACAAGGTCCAGTTGGGTCGTACATCACTTGCCATAGATTTCTGTTCCTCAGCTCCTACAAAAATTGAACAGTAAAATGTTTTTCCGTGTAAACTATGCAGAAATGCTGTTTTGGATAAGTACAGTTTCGAAGCACCAAACTTGAGAAAGTTCCCTTCATCAACCAAAAAAACAAAGTTAACTGTTCGCAATTGTTAGATAACTGTCGGCATTACACTGGGTCACTGGCATGGTTGACTAACTGTGGACACGAAGAACGACGAGCGTTGGGCAAGAAAAAATGTCAGTGCTGTGTAAAATATATCAATAGTACGAGTGCACCTGCTTACAAACAGAACTTTTATATTACATATTCTTAAGTATGTCATATTCTGCTTTCAGGTGACACAGTGAGCATCAGGCTTTTGGCACTAGGTGCCCCAAGATGAAGTTCCGCCAGTGGAGGTTTCTTTTATTACAATTTTTTTTTATTTGCAAACTCCCAGTCACTGCCGCAGCCCAATCACACTTTCAGAACGCTTTCCATCCAGCCCCCATTCCCAGATACGCAAAATTTACTGGCTTCTGATTAACTCTCTGGAAAATTTTTCTAAGCCAACGATTTTATCACTAACTCAATAATTTAGCGGCACAGCACACGTATAGCAATGACATTAGACCAAGCAGTGAATACTGTAAAGGGTCGGAAGGAGGATTAAAAGAGCGCTGCTCCCTCCGTCAGCTCTGGCGCCGGTCACAACAGCTTCCCCATCGCCAGGTGAGTCGCCGAGGCCATCAGTCACCGCTGCTGCTCGTCTGGGTAATTGCCGAAATCTTTGACAGCATCTGGCATACCGGGCACCGAAGGTGTTGAGAGCCTCCCCAGCAGACCGGCTTACGCACAATGGCGTCTGCCCAGACGAATTGCCGGGCCAAACGTAACAATACCAAAAGTAACCCGACTTGCTAATTGCAACCGTAGATACCACACTATGGCACCTCTGTTTCGTATCTCCAGTTGCTTCGTAATGAACAACATCTTTATAAAAGTGGCAAATGCCTTTGGAAATGTGCAGTAATGTGAAAATCTGTTAGCCATGCCCGTAATTATATTTACAAAGATTATGATTAGGAGATAAGTTACGTGGCAGAACTCTGCAAGAACAACTAGTATAGGTCATGCTTAGATAAATCGAATGAAAAATGGACGTCCCAAACAAGCCTTACCAGCTCTTGGAAAGAGTGGGTTGATGTCGCAGTCTGAGTAGTCAAAGCCTGCCTTGCACTGTTCTTCAGCCAGTCTGACAGAGAGGTCTCTCATTTCACTCGGAACAAGCTTTCCAAGCCACACATACACTTCACTGCCAAAGTTGAACACGTAAGCCTGCAGACACAGAGAAAAAAAAAAATATATCGAAGTGGTAGACATCACAGTCCAATCCATTTATAACAAATCCAGATATAACGATCTATCGGAATGTAAAGACCATATTTCAGTGCAATTACGATTTTCCTATGCTACCCTTTTAAACTGAGTCCACATACAGCAAACTTTTTTTAAAGCCTGCTACTTTTACAACGAACACTTCCTACACGGTCGCGTAAATATATGATGCACAGGAAACAAAAAAAATGTTAGAACAGACATTCTAAAGCATGTGAAGGCGAGCACTCGTGTGTACACCACTGCAATTAACTTGCCAACAAGATGTAGACCACGGCGAGCACTGCACGCAGCTTTCGGACATTGCGAGCGATGTCGCTCCCTATCCAGACATTTTTTCACTGGCAGAACGGAAGTGAGAAAAAGAAAAGAAAAATAGAAACAAATAGGAGGCTGCATAATACTTGCAGTCAGATTTCACACGGCAAACTTTTCTGACAGCGTTCTCGTCGTCTATGACCGCCGACGATTAGCCAACAACGCCTTTGAAGAAGAAGCCATAAATGTAAGAAGCGATAACCTTTGTCCCATAAAAGTTCACTGCGACACTCAACTCTCAGACACCGCAATGTGCCGCAAAAGGTTTTCCACCTTTTGGTAACAAAAGAGACCAGTCGATTATAATAACGACTTTGGCATGATTGCGCGGTGTCTGTGTGTACAGCTGCCGACGAATTTTTCGGACTCCTAAAGTTCGGACTTGTTGAATGTTTCCGACTTCACAAATGCACTGTCAATTCCCATCACACTGACACATTGTCGCGAACAATTTTCGGACAAATTCATATTCCAAAGTTAGACTTTCCGGACTAAATCGTTTGTTTCGAGCTATGCCGCTCGATTTTGAAAGCCGCCATGTCAGGTTTTTTTTGTTGGCTTGGTCGAGTTCGTTTTGCAGAGGCTAGTTGTGTGGCCTCCAAGACTAGAAGCGTGCACATTCTTCGTGTTTCTGAGGCCATGTCTGATCTTCCTTGGCAGCCAAGATGGCAAAACTTTTCTTTTTCAGTCGGCCTGACCATCATTATTACGCCCGTAGGTTGTTCCCTTTTTCTGGGCATTTGTTTTTGCGGTCGTCATTGGCACGTGCCCGTGCTAGTGGTGTGCCAATTGTGTGACCATAAACCACCAGTTCAACTGGTTTGTTTATGGTCTAATTCCCCAATTGGGACCAGTCGCCAGTGATTCCGAGTGGAGAGCAGTTGCCAACGGGTCCCAGTTGGAACCCACTGGCAACTGGTCCCCACTGGGGCTTTGACCATAAACCACTTTAAGGGTACCGCTTGTTGCCTGTTCAAATATTTCATCTGGGGAGCGATGACGAGCTTGTTGAAAGCAATGAACATGTCATTTTGACTCATTGCTGGCAACCTTATCAGTCATTTGCAGATGGCTCATCAGCGGAGTGACGGCGGTACTAGCGAATTATGCTGCCGTTCACAAGTTCGACATCACTGCATTATGCGAGTCCACTAGCACGTTGCTCGCAAAATTTTTCGTTGTGTATAACAGGCTACTAGCCGCACCCGAGCACGATCCCGAGTGAAGCATGTGCAAAAAACGCGCAAACGTGCACATAAATTAGACTGCAAGCGAACTGGCATGCGACAGCGAGAACTGAGTAAGCGACATGCTGCACGAAAACAGCCAGGGATGATTGGTCCCACGCGGCAGTACTGAGCTTAAGTAGGATGGCTCGAATTTACTGCGAACGTGGTTGAATGCACTTGTGAGGAAACAGCCGTCGTTTAACACACGAGAAGGCCTAACTTGTCAGCAGAGTGGTTGTTGGCATTTTTTAATAAAAATACTTAGGGAAAAAATGTTTTGCCCTCCAAGTAGATGTTTTTATGGGCAGGTCCATATACAACAAACTACTAATATAACGACCATTTATCGCAGCACTTTCTAGTTCGTTATAAATACTGCACTCTGTACATGCCACTGTTATAATGTTCATCACAATTGGAAATATTAGTACTTGCAGAATGCAGATTGGCTTTAAGTAAGCAGAAATGAATGCGACGGATGTGACGCTCTTCTATCGCGTGCACTCCAGACACGACATAAGGGATGTCTTACTGCTGCTCTAAGTAGTGGAGATCTTAAGAGCATTCTCTACTGAATCAATCAAAGTCATTACCTTGTCAGGCTGAAGCATTTCAACTCGTGGCTGCATGCCCCAATATTTGTCGCATGGAACAAGGGCATCTCCTTCCACAGTGTAGACCATGTTGGTGTCCACAACAGCTGCTTCAAACCACTGAAAAAAAAAAAAAAAAAAAAAAGCCGAGGCAATTGGTCTATGATGAATTGTTGAAGATTGCAGTTATGTCGTTTAAAAGTTCAGGTCAGGTGTCAACGGCGTGTTTTTCCAATGACCTGCCATCTCCCATCGCTTACAATCTCTATCCCTCCCCTCGGGAAGTTTGGACCATTTCAGTCATATATGTTACGCTGGTGACTCGAACATTTTCAATTCCTTGCTTGTATCATTGACATAAACGGAATTAGAGGATTCTTCACGGCTTTAGCGTTGCAAAAACAATAGGTTTATCACTATACACCTATGTTAGAATAGAAGCAGATGAGAGCAGGCAATGAGATTATATCAAGAGCATAGTCATGCTTTAGCAAGCCAACATTCATTTGCTTACCAAGTCCTCACCGGGATCACCAGCAGGGTTGCAGTCATCAGCAGTACCCCCAAGCAGCTTGAAGAAAGCTTGGGCCTCTTTAGAGTTTTCCTCTTTTTCCTCATCTATGATCTTGACCTCTGAGGTCCCTTTGAAGTGCAGATCCTTCCTGAATTGTATGCTTTGAGCCACATCAGTCGCCTGTCAACATTTAGCACATTTTTCAAATAAGTGGCTGAAAAACACCAATGTTCGTGAATGTTTCAGTGTGTGCACAGCTATACACAGTGAGTAACTGCTTTTCAATCTTGTGGGCCCGAGTGCAGAAATTATGTGCAACATGCATTATGGGAGACCCAACTCGAGCACGGGTCACTAGTACGCCATGACAAGAAATAATGCCTATGTCGCAATCTGTGGTTTCTTCCAAAGTTGGGTATACTGTACTGGTTAAAATTCATACCAACACATACTTTCCAGGCTTTCAAAATCTCTGAAAGTTTCTTGAGGCACTAAAATTGTATTTAGTGGCCACAAATGGCAGTAAAATGCCTTGGAGAAATTCAACGTTATCCTAAACAGTTAAGTGGCTTTTAGCATAGCAGCAATGGCACTAAATGCTAGAACACTCCCATACGAGTCCTATATCAGAGTTTGAACTGCAAATTGAAAGAGTTTGTAAAAATGCAAAGGAGGAAATCGCAGTGGTCCACATAAAAGCAGTACTACATGCAGGTCAAACCTTCAAAAAGCAGTAAATGCAGGTGATGCATTCAAAACACTCGCTGGATGGACAGATATGTGCACCGCTAACCTTTGCTCTTTCGATGACATTGCTGTGGCGACCAATCCAGCAATACACAGTAGTAGGCGTCACGAGCACAAAGACATCTCCGTGGTTGAGAGAGGAGACGGATGGCTCCACCAAGCGCGTCTGCACATGCCGCCGACCTTTAACCTGAATCAACATGAGGTCACGGTTGGGCAGCAAAGAGCTCGTGTCATCCGACTTCTTGAGCTGCACTCGACGAAAGTCTTCCGTACTGGCCAGCCCCGCCAAAGCAGAGAGAGCCAAATCTGATGTTTTGGCCACTGTGAAAGAAAGCGGAGAATGTTTTAGAATTGGCAAGAAGTATGCTGGATCTGTGAAGAAGACATGTGAAAGAGGTCATGTGAAGGAGCTGCACACTCCGAGCCAGGAGCCACTTGCAGCCAGCAATAATAATTTTTTTTGTTCAGTACTTTAAATGATCAAGTTTTGCTAGCCTTTTCTGTTAAAATCACAGGTATTTCAAATTCGAAATTTCGTACAGCACATTGCATATGTCTGCACTATATTAAACAAATATTTTCATGTGCCCCGAAATTCTGTTGCAGTAGACATGAAGGCCTTCAACAAAAAACAGGAGTCTCAAACTCATCTCGGCTAGCGAGCCACAGTCCCGAAATTCAGTCCAACAAGGGCTGGACCAATGAAGAAACTGAGAATTCAACAAAATTACACATAATGTCGCCATTTCAATGAATGCCTTTAGGTCTTATATGCAGAGGATTTGATGCAGGTTTGAAGAAAGATATCGATAGTTATTTGCAGAGTGACCAAAAATTCTGAAATAGAGTTTTTGTTCTATCGTGATGTTTCCACATATAGTGACTACTGGGGTGCCTCAGGAACAAAGAAATGCTTGAGACCAGTCCTTTCTGTAGATCCCCTATACAAAGTGTTAAAATAGCAATAGGTGAGAAAATAATGTGAATACTATTTAGCAAATTCAGTAAAGCTTGCTCTTTGTAAAAACGCAGGCCGTGCGATTAAGACCGGTGATCGGCAAACAATTGCAAAACAAAAATCAACACGAGCATATACTAGAGTTACGGAGTTTTAGTTCTTCAAGAAAAGCTAGAAGTTCAGCAAAAATGAACATGTAAAAAACACAGTTTCAGTTCAAGAAGCTTTGCAAGGCATGCGAAGTTTTAAAATTACAGAGCTTTTGTCTACAATGGCAAATACAGTAAAAGCTCGTTAATTCGAATTCCACGGGAACGCTGAGCAATTTAGAATGAAACAAAATTCGAAATAATGACAGTGAGCAAAAATGGGTGGATTTCGGGGGTGGGGGCACGAAAAATATTTATTGGCCAAAAAAGTCGGTGATGACCATCTGCTTCTTTTCTCAGAATGCCACAGCTGCGGCTCCCAGTTCCAGCGCGCGGACGCGGCGCAGGGAATCCTCTTCACCCTCTTCAAAGCTGAAAAAGAGACGCGCCACATTAAGTGCCTCCATCACCGCAGAAGCTGACGGGTGCACAGGCGCTTCGTCATTTTCGTCTTCCTCACCTTTTGGCTCTTCAGCATCAGGCTGCGCACCGGCTACTTGAGCGATAATGTCCTCATCAGTCAGGGCACCACACACCGATGCACCGGTGTCAACTTCAACATAATCGGCAAAACATACGCCCCGAAGAGTGTCGCGCAATGCCACTGGCATGAGCTCCTACTCCCATCCACGTCGACGTCACAACTATCCTGCGCACTTCCAGCTGCAAATCCACTGTGGCGGAAACAGTTTGCGATTGTGGTCGCGGTCACCTGTTCCCATGCGCGCACCAACATGTGCATGGCAGTGAGCAGCGTAATGCCGAAGTCCTTCCTGTCGCTTGTGCACAAAATCATTCGTGAACGAACAACGTGCTCGAGGAACAAAGTGACGCTGTCGGGAGCGGCCTAGGACTGCTAGGACTACTCCGCTGACTCCTCAGCGTCCCGTGGGTCCCGCGTACAAGTGGCGCTAGGCGCTGAGATAGCGGGAGGGCTACGAAAAAAAAAAAAAATTGCTCCCTGGATTTTGGAGGCCATACTTTGCTCGCCCTTGCTCGGAGGCCACTTGAAGCTCGAAAAAACTGGTCGTGCCACCTATCGTTCGACCGTAAAAGCTTCCACTAGTGTTTGACGATGCTGACGCTCGGCGGCGCGCGCTTCGAATTATCCGTAGAGGCAGCAATTTCTGTTCGAATTAACGAATCGTTTTACACATGGTCTCCTATGCACTGCGGACCGGACTGCGGCGACCATTTCGAATTATCCAAAATTTCGAATTAATGAGGTGTGAATTAACGAGCTTTCACTGTAGACCAGCAGCTAGCTATGACTCACAGATGTCTAGAATCATCTCTATCATCAGCCTGTTTAATCAGTAGAAGTACTTACATTTTTCAATGTTCATTCGTTTCAGCTCCTTCTCGGCAACATCTGTGCGTACTTCAACATACTCTGTCTGAATGTCAGTACGAGAGGCGAGCTTCTTGAGTGGGTTGCCTTTGGTCTGCCTTTTTCTGCGAACACTGATCTGTTTCCTCTGGCCAAGCCTGCACATGATGAACGTCGAAAGAATGTAAGACCCCTAAATGCGATATGCATCATGCACTGTCACTCGAAACTTTGTACAGATGATGAAAGACCCCTCTACCACCTGTTCTCTGGAACAACCTGTGCACCACTGTACACTACAAGGATAAAAAATAGACATCATGCCATACAAGCACGGGCTAACAACTGGAATGTTAACAATGCACCAATTTCGCGAAAAAATTTTTCGGCTACAGGACAGCACACACGCCATGTACAATTTAACTTCAATTGTACATCCACCGGTTTCACGATGACTCGCTTTTCACGACGTATCTGTCCCGGCAAAATACACATATAGGTAATGTATTAAAAATCTTGGTTATGCAATGCATTTTTAAGCCAACCCTGCATCCGATGACAACTTTCCCATTCCGTCTGAAACTAAAACCCACCTTTACTTGCATCGAACGTTGGCCAAATACAAGTGCAAAACACTGTTAAACCTGTTTATAATAGGCACGCTCGAGACAGCAATTCTCGTTTTTTACGATTTGTCTTTTATAAGCAGAGTACCACTTATGCTTTTTATTATTAACCCATATTTTACTGTGGGCACACTAGAGTTTTTTTTTCCCATTAGTCTTATATCAGTGACTCTTGTAAAGGGGTTCAACTGTATGAACTTATGCTCCCCTTGATTAAGGATCAGCAAACGAGAAATTGAAACAGGATGTCTTTTTAGAATGGCAAATTTATTCTCCTGGCGGTTAATGCACTTCTCTATACGCCTCGATTGCAGGCGTACGTAGGGTCGTTACGTAGAAAAGCTCCGTCCAGGCTAGGTTCAGTTGGCAGAAAAGCTCATTTCTGACATCTTGACATTTTCATATTCTCAGTCTGTGCAAACAATTCCTGGCTGACATACAGCCGATCTGCTGTCTTGGTTTGTAACACTCGCAACCACATGCTTGAGCACGCAAGAAGACCCAATGCAGCTATTTTCCCCGTGCGAAGTAACCGTCACTTGACGTCAACGTTCGTTATAATAGCTAGACATCACTAGTGGCACTTTACAAGGCAACAAATTACAATGCACACAACTCTGTTGAGCATGAAGACATTCTATGCAACCTTGCAACTCAGTCCCTCGCCATTATGTGATGCCAATGGCACTGTGTCTAGCTCTTCCGACGAGAGACTGTTGGAAACACTGCTTGGGTTTCGCACGCAGGCAATTTTCGGACTCCATTTGTCAAGAGAAAGATGCGTGTTGAATTCGGTTTTTTCGAAGTTGAGAATAAAGATTTGCTCACACCTGCTTCAACAAAGTAATGCTACCATTGGCCAGAATAATTTAATCTACCTTCCTTGGAGAGGCACAATGGCGTGTAGTGGGCTTATTCAGGCGGTCTGTACCCGTTTTTTGTGCAGGGCTGTTTCACTGCCTTCATTCTTAGTTTTTCGATTAAACAATGCCCGGATTATATGACTGTTTTGTGTAGTCTGCTGAAAGTTGTATAAATCGCTACTCCACTGTGCTGTGCAGTTTGTCCGTATCAATTTTTAAACTGGATGCTTAGGAGTTAACTGAAAACCAATTCAAACAAATCGAAGTTTTCACAGAGACAGGTCATGCTTCATTTCCTTACGTTGCTCTTGTAAAAAGTGCTTCCCTAAGTCAAATATTGCTCTTCTAACACAACGACAGCTAATCCTAGTGCACAATTAGTTTTCGAACAGCCGCTGTCTAACTTAAACTAATGACTGAGTAAAAGAAAAAAACATATGTGCTGTCCTTACTTGACATTGTCAGATACAATGGCATCAAAAGCTTCTTCACTGATATCAAGTTTGTCCTCTTTGGATGATGGGAGGACGCTTTCAAAGAATGAGCTGAATGTTTCGTTGTCAGCCTTCGGAATCAGAATGCGCGGCCTCTCTTCTTCCTCGGCTTTCAAGCGGGACAGTTCTGCAAGTACACCATGTCAGCTTGACATCACTTGAAAATTAAACCGCAAAATTATCATCACAAGAGCACTGAAAAATGAAGAGGTCTGTACAGCAAGGAAACTCAAAGCAAACATGTAGTAACCCAAATCGTTAAGTTTATTTTGTTTATAAGACATTGCCAGACCTTTACTAATACTTTTGAACCCAAAAATATGCACTATATAGAAGAGACATTGCACATGCTTTTCATTTATAATGACTATATACATAATCGGTCTCAAAATCCCTTGCTTTCATGTTGCAGATGCAATCTATGTTCAGACATTGGAGATATTAACCCACATTTTTGCAGGTACAAGTTCTAGTATTAGACTGCCCAATACAGCTGGTACATCATACATTTCTGCAAAATATGTTGAGCAATTTTAACCAATAAAGGTCATCGATGGCATGACTATGAAGCATTACCCAAGACTTTCACAGAAATAACTAGAAAATGCCTAGAGGCCATCATGACACTGGCTTTGATGCAGTTTTTGCAAGAAGAAAATTATTTTATTACCGATTTTTATGAACTTGGCAACTTTTTGCACATTCACAAAGAAAAAAAAAAATCAATTGTGGCTCACCTTCTGCAGCATTCGGCATAGACTTGCTCTTGAATATTGTAGGCAATACTGGTGTCCCTTGTTGGTGAATCCGACGGAGAACTTCTGCTTTGGAGGCTGCAACGAGCGAAATCATCAAATACAGCCAAAAGAAACTTTTAAAAAGTTGACAAAAGTATTCCATGTACATTACTCTCAGCAAACCGAAATCTCTTAAATTAAACTGCTATATTAATGTAAGAACTTCTAGCATGATTGGTTTTTACTTGAATTCTTCTGTCATGTTCACCTCTCAGTAAAGAAAACCGCTGTTAAACGGAGCCACCGCTAAACGGAGCCACCGCTAAACGGAGCCACCGCTAAACGGAGCCACCGCTAAACGGAGCCACCGCTAAACGGAGCCACCACTAAACTGAACCACCACTAAACTGAACCACTGGTAAATGGTACCACTGATAAATGAAACTACTGCTATACGTAGCCACTGCTAAACGCAACAACTGCAAACCAAACCACTGCTAAACAGGACGTCTGCTACAAAAACAGTATGTAACAAAACGTTCGCTTGTTGACACTTTTGCTAAACGATAAACGGGACATCCTCTAAGCATGAAATCTGCTAAACGTTAACGAAACTACTAGGAAACAACACTCTTGGTAAACAAAACTCTTGGTTGATGGCACCCATGGTATATGGAACCACTGGTAAACGGTACCCATCGTACACAGCACCCATGGTATATAAAACCACTGGTAAACGAAACCACTGGTAAACGGAACATCTGGTAAGCCAAAGCACTAACAAACAAAACTTCTTGAAAACAGAACATCTAGAAAATGTAACATTTAGAAAACAACATCAAGTGAAAACAGAATATGTAAATAAAACGATACATAAATAAAATGCGTAATAGACTAAACACTTATTAAACAAAAGAATTGGAAAAAGAACACATTCTACACAACATTTTCGAAACGGAACTCCCGCTAAACGGAACTCCCGCTATACGAAACTCCCGCTATACGAAACTCCCGCTACACAAAACTCCCGCTACACAAAACTCCCGCTACACAAAACTCCCGCTACACAAAACTCCCGCTACACAAAACTCCCGCTACACGAAACTCCCGCTACACGAAACTCCCGCTACACGAAACTCCCGCTACACGAAACTCCCGCTACACGAAACTCCCGCTACACGAAACTCCCGCTACACGAAACTCCCGCTACACGAAACTCCCGCTACACGAAACTCCCGCTACACGAAACTCCCGCTACACGAAACTCCCGCTACACGAAACTACAGCTATACAAAACTACAGCTAAACGGTACTCCCGCTATACAAAACTACAGCTAAACGGTACTCCCGCTAAACGGTACTCCCGCTAAACGGTACTCCCGCTAAACGGAACTCCCGCTAAACGGAACTCCCGCTAAACGGAACTCCCGCTAAACGGAACTCCCGCTAAACGGAACTCCCGCTAAAGGAAACTCCTGCTAATATTTTTTTGGCCCCTTCAGGTTCCTTTTATTTAACGACAGTCTAGAGTATTCATTCTCCCATTCTCTCCATAGCTGACAAGCATTTTGGAACAGTCAAAACAATTGCAGATGAACCAGGCTAATATTGCTGGTTGACAAAGGAGCAACAGTTTAGTAATCTAAAAATGATGATAGTAACACGATGATATATTATGCAAGCCTAGAATCAATCGTTTTGAACCACATCCAATTTCAACAACATTTTTGAGGTAAACTGTGCATTATAACTTGTCAAAATGACAAACGTAAAGACTTCACTGTGCTGTTGTAAAAACTGACTGCACAACTTATCGGTAGAGGGGCTACAATTCTGTGACCTGCATCATTTTTGCTCGAGTTCTAGCATCAATAAAGAATAATACTGTGAAGCGCAAGTCAGATCAAATGTGGCAGCACTATTAATAACCAGATTCACAACTTCCAATTGATTAGTTAGACCATTAGGCGACAGCAATCATTAAGAACTCGTGACCATGTGCATGATTAGAACTCGAGCCCACAGTTCAGAACGGCAGCGATACTTGCAACAATGCTAGCGCACAACATAGCACTAATGTACTTACACGGAGACGCTGAGAACTTCTCGGGCTTGGGCATCCTCTTCTTACGGTCAGGGAGCTGTGTCGGAGATTCCGAGATGCCCATCTTACCAGCCACTGTAAACTGGGAGGCATCAGACTCCTGGATACGTTGCCGCCAGGACTCCGATGAAGACTCCAGCCAGCTCTTTCGATCCCCAATTGATGGAGACTTCTGCACCTCAATGATTTTCTGAAAAGCGGTAAAGCAGAAATGGATTCTATTAATTGGACTGACTACCATGAATTTTAAGTCACCACAAAATCCAGTGCTATTAATGCAGAGCTAACAAAGATGCCTAATCATCCCATTGTGACTGCACTGCTTCAAATCTTTATGACAGAAACTAGAGCATTATCAGTATCCTCGGATTTCAGGCCCTCACGAGTTCCACAGGACAGCACAAGAATCATGCTACTGGTGGCTTACCTTCTTTTTGAAAAGGGTGTAGTGTTCTCAGCGAACTCAGCAAACAACAAAATTTTCTGAAACTATGGCTGACTATTGTGGCTTCAACAGACCCCTTGCCACATCTTGGAAGATATAATATCATTTACAAGTTTCTAGACTTAGCATTCATACTGATACCATAGATAAGATGAAAAGCACTTCATGTTTTTTATAACACATATCAGAAGCCAAGCTGCTCATATGGCTCTTGACTGTGCTTCTTGCTTACCTAGTGCTCTAAACTATGCATACACAATCGTCTCCGGAACAAAAAATATGACACAGCAAGAAGGTAACTGGTTAAATAAAGAAGACACCAGAATAACAGACCTTCACAGTGCTTCATGGCTACATAAATCCCAATTTTTTTTAAAATTGCAACTATATCAGGTTGTGTAATAAGTACAAAAACTTCTGCACACAAGCATTCTTGTAATTTCATTCTTGTCAGACTGCCAAAGCCAGGCATAAAACATGCGCATTTATGCTCAGTAACAAAGGCATATTGAATATCAAATCATTGATATGTGGGGTTTAACGTCCCAAAACTACCATATGATTACGAGAGACACCGTAGTCGAGGACTCCGGAAATTTAAACCACCTGGTGTTCTTTAACGTGCACCCAAATCTGAGCACACAGGCATACAACATTTTCGCTTCCATTGAAAATGCAGCTGCCACAGCCGGGATTGGATCCTGCGACCTCCGGTCAGCAGCCGAAAACCTTAGCCACTAGACCAACGCGGTGGGGCTATTGAATATCAACTAGACTAGGCAGATACTGCAAAGGAAAGAAATTAGAGTTACACAGCACCTTTCTTTCTTGCTTGCTAGCACTAACTTCTTACATCACAAACTGAATAAAAATGTCGATGCTTTTAAAAGGAAGCTGAATCATCAAAGCAGACAAAGTGTTCAAAAATGACATACCGCATCTTTTCGTAAGCACTGAGACTGGTGATGAAGCACCGATATCAGATGGTGCTACTTCATGCTTGCTTTTCTCTACTCGTTTCTGCCAGTCTTCACCACTCTTTCTCAGAGCCTCTAGTCTGCAACATGAATGCAGGGCATAATATCATAACTGTACTCTTCTGTGAGAATCCCGTTAAATCTTGGAAAAAAACAATGTTACTCATTTAAAAGTTTCCAGGCTGATGATTCTCAGTATATGGGCAAAAGACTTTTCCACTGCATATATAAGCACTGATGTGCAATGCTGTCTCTTAATCAGCAAGGTGATTAAAAATGCAGGTTGTTGAAATATTTCCCATGTTAAGTACCAACAAGCCTGAAATCTGTCAACTAGGCATACAGCATTAGAGGAGTTTTTCATGTAAGAGGGCGTGAGCTCAAGAAATTATTTGTACATCAGATAGTTTTGGACAGCTTACTTGTAGACTGCAAGTCCACATCCCACTGACCACCTCCCATGACTCTTAGGCGTTGCGCCCACTCGCGCCAGTCAGTCAGTAATGCCCGGTCGCCGCTCGCTCAGCAAAAAAAAAAAAAAGAAGAAGAAGAAAGGCGATCGGACACTATATTGCCCGCTGATACACGCACGCGGCGCGTGTATTTTGGAAGTAAAATGTCGCCCTTCATGATATGCGCTATTTACACACAAACCAGGGAAAAAACGAAAACAAAAAAGTGTACTGCCGTATGGCCGCCTTCCTTGCATTATCGTAAAACGGTGCAGTGAAGCAACCTTGCGCACCAAAAACACGTTATATTTTTTAAAGCTTTATATCGAATTATATGATTACCGAACTAATCCTCGCATTTCTTTTTTGCGCATAAAAATATGATGGTTCGAATTTCATTGTACCTTTATTAAGGTGCAAAAGAGTATACCTAAAGGACTTTCGAGGTACACTGTTTATGGGCAGCAAACAAATGGTTGTACTGAGAGACGAGGCAGCTCTCATGTTTTCGCGTGCATTACAGCCTCTTGGCTCGACCGCGAGTCGAGGCAACATTGCACAAGCTGTATTCCCGCCCAGAGCCCCTTATCTTCATTTCCGCTTGACAGAGAGCAAGGGCAACCTGTGTGTCTGCTGGAAACTGGTGAACGATAAGATAAGCCGCCCGCCAATCAAGAGCAGTACCCGCTGCGGGCTGCATTAAGTGCCACCACTTTGCACACACCTTGATAAGGCATGTCCGGGACACGCCTGTAGTGTGTCTACAGCCCCTATCAGTTAACGGCACGACGGGATTGCACTACATTGCTCAGCATCAGAAACTCAGCCTGTGCGTTCTCCTGGCCGCTTTAATTCGCGCAAATTTTCCGGACAGGATCGGGCACTACGCTACAGGTATTATTGGAGACGCGATTTTTATTTTAATGCATACGTAAGATACACGATCTCGTGGAATAACTGTAGTGTGGGGAAAGCAATGCAAACTTATTGTAAGGCAAGTTGATTGTATCCTTAGATGAATAGAGATGCACCGTGGGGCTGCATGAGAAGTTTTGTAACAACTTTCGGTCAGTGATTTGTCACTAAACCCCCCTCCCCCCCTCCTGACATCTCCGGGACTGAACAATCGGCACGTCAGTTTGTAACAAATTAGTTAATTCATGATGTATAGCACAATTTTCGTGATTGAATACGGGACCGATGTATTTCAAGCTGACAATAAAGAAAAAAACATTTATTCCCTTCTATTAGAAAATCACCGTTTAACAGCAGCAAAATCGACACTTGCTGCGAGGAGACGCTAGGTAAACGAAAATGCGGCATGGCTTCCCGCGACAGCTGGTGACGTCACGGATTTCGACGGCTTCTTTTGAGACTCACCTAGTTATTAATTGATTGATATGTGGGGTTTAACGTCCCAAAACCACCATATGGTTATGAGAGACGCCTACCTAGTTATTAATCAGTAAAAATGAAGTACCACATTTTCATCTGCTGGGGAAAGAGATTTAACGTGCGAAGTTTTGAGAAACTTACCGAGTAACATCATGCAATAAAAAATATGCACCAAGTGGTTCAAAAGTGCTTACTAAGGTTGTGACATCGCTCTCGGATTCAACTCTGAAGCTTAAGGGTCTCTAATTCTCCTTAAGGAAATGTCAGTAAATTCCGTACTCGCCACTCGCTCCTAAATCCGAGACCTCACGCTGACTTCCATGGACAGAAATTTCGGTGCGACATTTAAAAGTGAAATATACCTATAATCGCGAAATTAATGACAAATGATGCTTAGGGAACAATTATTAAATCTAAATTGATTCACTGTTTCACCTTAACATCTCTAAGCACTGATGCTGTAGGTTTTAGATTGTTTTCTGCATTTTTTCGCAATGTTTCTCCGATAAAATGAGGCAGTCTGAGGCAGCCGGACCATCTTATGAAGATCTGCGAAAGGACTGGTAAAATGTGCATTAATAATGTTAAAGTACCAATAAAACATCACATTCTGGTTCATTACACGCAGAACCTAAAGCACCTGCGCAACGTAGTGCTTTTTAAGCTGTGTTCTTGTCGTGACGTGCCTCACCTTTGCGCAATACCTCCACCGCAAGTTGTTTTCTCATCTTGCGTGATTGGCTGTGTCCGGTTGCTCTCACGAGCATAGAGGCCCCGCGTGGTCACATCCTTTAATCCATTGTCACTGGCCGCAGCGTAAGAAGAGCGCAGCCGAGTCTCAGACGAAAGGACTTCATGAGTACTCCTCCTGCACAGGTAACACAGGGAAGTTTAGTTTAAGTCATTGTGACCAGCAACGGCGAAGTAATCACGAATTAGTCATCAAGGCATAGCATGGGCGTGTCATATACGTATTGTTCACCCCAGTGTGAGTGAATTGACAATTCATGTTTTGGGACTCCAAAGCTGCTGCGTCGAAAAAAAAAATTGTTAAGCGATAGTACACTGACTATGCAACAAGTTAACATGGGCACGACTCACTGCGAACGAAAACACGCCAGAAAGTATGAAACTGTGGTCATCCAGACCGCTAGGAAACGTCACCGTGATATTCTAGCAATAACTGAATAAGATGCCACAGCTTTCAGATGTACGCGGAAAAACTTAGCATCGATTAAAAATAATAAGAAAAAAAAATGTTCGAAAATAAACTAAGTAAATTGGTAGACTAGGCTAAGTTTGAGATTCGTGACAGTATTAACCATGCAAGATGCAACACGGGCATGGCGAGCATACACATAAAACCAGCATCAGTCCTGTGTGTTATACACACATTCTCCCACGCACACACATTCGCCCATTGCGGCATGCACTTAAGCCCCCAAATTCGATAACCTTAAATTGAACATTCCCTTTTTATCAACCGTCGTTTGCCATACAAGCGCAGCGTTTTCATAATTCCTAACGAGTAACGAATTTCCAGCAGTGATCAGCCACCACCAGAGGTTATCACTTATCAGTGGAGCATACTTCGAAATGATTCGGGTTGAGGGGGGGGGGGGGAAGCCTGCATCTCCTGCCCGGCCGTCCATCCCCTCCAGCAAGCAGAGGTACAATAAAACGCCGACGACCCCAAAAAAGGCGACTACGGGGGAGTAAAAGCGATAGCACATCGCACCCCGCAGACATCATTGCCGAAGGCATCTGTCGTAACAGCTCCGGCATCTTCCAGGATGCGCCACGCGCGACTGGCCACCAGAATGTCGGCGCAGAAAGAGCCGCGAAACCATCGTGGCGCGCAGATCGACGCGGCGAGCTAGGTGCGCGCTGTAATCGCCCCAACGCCTGACGGGAGGCCCTTATCGTCCGACAAGACCCATTCGCGACGATTACCTCGTAACGCTCCACCGCGCGTAGTGCACCTCTTGGCGGTGAACGACGTGGCTTGTCGGCTGCATCCGACTGCTGGGCGATGCAGACCGACGACGACGCGCCATCGCCCGCTGCGGAGAGCGCAGTGCTTTGGGTGCACACGTAGGAGCTTCTGTTGTGCTTCCCGTGTTGCCTTTGTTTGTAGCTGCTGGTCGTAGTAGTACCGCATACGTTTCGGGCGCATTTGCCCTCGGGGTTTTCCGCCCCTATAGAGCGGCTCATCTAGCCGTGGGCAGCGTGGGCGAGCTTGTTGTACGAGCGTGCCCTTGCGTGAGCGGGGCAGCGCTTTTTCTGGACTTCGACTCAGCGCGCGCGCGAATGCGCACGGACAACTCAAGGACGTCGAAAGTTCTAAAAGAGGATGTAGCAAAAGGTGAAGAGTCTCGTGCGCGAAGACGTGTCTAGACCGGCTTGCGAAACAGGCCGAACATATAGATAAAATAAATCTCCCTCTTTCATTTGAACACCGCGTGAACGACCGGACACTAGAAATAAGAAAGAAATGACATAATGGTGCCAAGGAAAGTGCAGGGGATGCTATTAGTAGCGATTGTAATGCAAATGTAAAAAAAAAGAAAAGTGTACGTAAGAATAGCGTGCCGCTGACAGGGTCCGAACCTGCGACCTTCGAACAACATACTTTCCTTGCCATCATTGTCTGTTAGTTGTCATTAATGTTGTCTCTAACAAAAGATCAGCGAGCTCTTCAAATTTCGGCTTCTTTCCGTCCCTCAAAATAATGCCTGCTGGCACTGTCGAAGGTAACGTATATTCCTATGATCCGTGTTTACGGGAACTGAACCCCCCCCCCCCCCCATGAAGGTTATTACCAAACAAGTGATAATTCCCAACCCTTTTTCATACGGGCGCCGTATGAAAAAAAAAACAGCAAAAAAAGCTCTTCACCCCACCTCACCAAAGTAAACTGCCGAACTTCAAATAAAGTTCATCATTCATTCAAATAAAAACTGCTCGCTGGCAGTCGCTCCTAATATTTCGCGTTGTCATGACCATGGATTACACTCACGGTATGTATATTTTACTGGCACCTAACTATTCATTCGGCAACTGCACGTGAACGAATAAGGCATAAAAGGAGTCTCCAAAGAATAACATTCAGTTTTTTTTCCGGGCAAATGAACCGTTTTTGACCACAACCCCATGCTATATGGCACAGAGATCTTTTACCTGAAAACATACTGGGTGTTTCAGGGAGCACTTTCAAAAACTCCTGAAACGGGCTAAGAGAAAAAAGGCGCCTTCAGAAGGAAACGTAATTGCGGCGGACAGTCACAAAAATCTCAAACACATGCAAATCAGATTGGTTATTAATGAGAACTTACTGATTAACTTTCCAATTAGCGAACTGCTGGAGGTTATTGTCAATGAAGATTTTCGTAGCGATGGATAAGACGTCATAAGCTTCTAAAACAACGACAAAGGTCGTACTCCAAAAGCATGCAGCGCTGAAAACCCCTTTTGGTAATTTTTTTTTTTCCAAGATAAGGCAAGTCCGTGCTGAGCAGCGCCGGAGGAAGTCTTGCGCAAACGTCCGCCAGTGACGTGTTGAAAGTAAAATGTACCCGTGCTACTTTCCTCAGCCAGGAATCCTCGATATTCAGCACAGGCAGTACAGCGCTATCACGTATTCGCAGGCAGCTAGGAAGAGGCCAGTTATGCGATACCGCAAGTTTTCACCAGCGGACGTTGCAAATGCATTATATTTCCGGCGCTTCCATTGCAATGAGTCACGGTTTCAAGCGACAGACGATGCCAGACCTTCGATGGCCGCGTGGCTTCAGAGAATGACCGTTTTTTTTTGTTAGCTTTTAAATGCAGAGTCGGCATGGTCGTTTCCATGGCTACAAACTCGCCATTGGTGATAACCCCCAAACGTCGCTAGTTAAAAAAGCTCAATAAACAATATTGAATTACTAACTATGCAATTGACACGTTTCTCACAATTAGTGATGTCCATTAAGCCTGACAGCAAGCTCCTTAAAATATTTGCTCTTTCTTTTTTCTCTCAGAAAACTTGTCTTTAGAAAGTTTTGAAGGTATTCAGAGAAACAACCGGTATACTGACCAGAAACTACATGGCAACACTTTCCTTTCGAACTGTAGTCGAAACCAGCTTGAACATACTTGCTCGAAACGTTGAATTACGCGCAGTACCGCGCCACAAGGGAACATTAGTATGCGAGGCGGGCGTTGGTTAGACAAACCAGTTTCCTCTTGTTAAAAAACGGGAAACGCAGACACGGACACGTTTTCCTATATGTACTATATAATGCATCGGAATCGAAGTATGCGACCGCACAACCTGCGGCTGACGGGAGGCGGATCTTCCGAGATCACATGGGTGTTTTTACTATAGGGCAAAGGCGCACATCATGGACATGCATGTTACAATGTCGCGGCTTCATATTAAAATAAGGTGGGGGGCGGGGGGGGGGGGTACTTGAAAACTGCGTCAGCCGACGGTACCAGTGAGCCATGACGAGTATACCTAAATACGAAAACAGTCACGGTTATTAGCGGCGTCAATCCCAGCCGACTTTACCAGTGAGCAACGACGAGTATACCTAGACACGAAGACAGTCACGGTTATTAGCGGCGTCAAACCCAGCCGACTTTACCAGTGAGCAACGACGAGCATACCTAGGCACGAAGACAGTCACGGTTATTAGTGGCGTCAAACGTTGAATGTTGATCGCAATCGGGCCAGATACGCATCAAATATCTCGATCATGACTGGCTGTTTTACGCAAGTTGCAGAAGGGAGCCAATAACTGCCGAGAAATTTGATCCAGACTGGGTCTAATCGTAATCAGCAGCTTCACCGTGCGACGCCAGATGGACTCCATTGCTCTTGCCTTTATTGCCTAGCACCGTTTTCAGCTATTCATGAACCAAACTGCCCATCAATACGTCTTAACCTCTCAGTACATTCCCTTTTACACAGAAGTACTAACGAATATCACGAAATCACGACTTCTTTCATAACTAGGGAATCAGCGAGTGCGTCGTTAACACGTACCTATTACACATGAAAAGAAAACAAAATATCCACTCATTTGAAGAACGAGACTACAGAAAAAATTTTCCGGTAGATATATGCTACGGTCGGGAGGACGTCGATGTTTCCTTCCGCAACTATTTCACCACCTGGCGGCATTCCTCAAAACCATTGGCAACGTGGGTGTACAAAATAACGGTCGTACAGTGGCGCCACGTGCGGTAGCCTAACGAAATGCGACGCCCATCAAACGAGAACTATTGTTACCGGACGAACAGACAGCCCGGCAGGCAGGCAGGGTAAGTCGCGCTGCGCTGCCCACTCTCACCATTCCGCTCGGTTTTTTACGTCGCTGCACGCGCACACCACGTCCAAGACCTCTCTGACCCTGAAGAACCGCGCCGTGCGAGCGGGCGGCCGGCGCTGTTCGCGTCAGAGCTCGTTAGGCGCGCTTCTTGCGCAACCACGTGCACGAAGCACTTTCACACTTGAGCCCTCCGTGTACAGGCTGCAATTGGCGCCGCGTGGTCGTGACCTTTTCCGAGCGAGCTGCTTACGAATGCGAGTGCACGTCAGACGGCGATCCTCAACGCGGCAGTATAAATCATCCCGCAGTGACCTATAGAATGGAGCACCGTGTCCGTGGCGGCGTGCAAGTCACTCGGCACTGTGATGGAATCGGCGAATCGCAATTAGGTCGTGTCGGCGAACACAAACTGCGAGTTAGGCAGAATAAATGGGCTGGCTGATACGTTGAAACACACGTTGAAACAAACGAATCACTTCAACTTCGCCTGACCAGCCGATACGGTATGAACCATAGGTCCCTCCTGTACTACATGAAAGAAAGAGATGCA